TCTACAATATTTATTTTTACTATTCTAACTTACCTTAATTTTTAAAACTTATCTGGAAAATAAATGTTGTTATAAGTACATGAATGTACCTATGTAGAACGATGCTGAAAAATTAAATTTAAATACGAGCAAAATGCTGATACTTCAAGCACTGCAACATTTTGTTGTTATGTAAAAGACGATAAATCGTTAATGGATAGATAATAATCGAAGTCAATTTATTTTCCAACTGCAGCAAAAATACGAAAATATTTATTTCTATCACATTTTTTTTTCAAATAATACAGAAATACATGTTAGAACTTGTTCTGAGAATGATAAACAGTACTGCGGATATCCAGTTAATTAAATATCTTTAGAGCGAATTAAATTGATAGTGTGGTTTAAAAAAAAAAAATATTTGTTTAAAATGTAATACATTAAAGAATTTTTTTCTACTTTACATATATAAAGTCTTTAATTAGAGAGAGGGAAATGCCTTTATAACATGATTATCATTTATATAACCAAGGTGATTCTCCAGTTATGATATTTTTCACCGTAACTTTATATGTTTGTCATTCGATATTATTAAGAGCCCCCCCCCTTCCCCCTAAATCGGTTACTTTGTATTTCCAGTACATTTTAATTAACATTTAAAAAGAAGTTAATGTCTTTTATAGCTCAAAAATTTCAGTCTCAAAACAAACATGCATCTTAACAAAGTCATTAAACAATAGTAGTTCAAAATATACATGTGCCGGCGGTGATATTTTAAATTGGCAGGGAGTATGTTTCAAATTAAAGCGGCTTAATCATTCCAAGTGTTTATTCCCAATGTATTTTATTTATTTATTTATTTTTTAAGAAATGTCGGAATCAGCTCTAGAAATTATAAGAAAAATGTTAAAACTTCTTGGAAATACTAACATTTTGCCTTCGGTGTGACGAGACTTTCACACCTGCACAGTGTCGAATGATTTTGATTGACAGGTCAAGCACGTGGACTTCGTGTGAACTTGAAGCAGGAAAATAAAAACCGATTATGACTGTAAAACAATTGGATTTGTTGATAAAAAAAAAAATGGTTACTTTCACTGCCTGATATATTTAGAAAAAAATTAGAATTTTTGTTTGATATAGGTACAAACATTTGAGGAAGGGGGCTAAAACCGACTCTCTCTCTCTTTCTCTCTTTCTCTCTCTCTCTCTCTCTCTCTCTCTCTCTCTCTCTTATTTGTCTGTTTAATAAAATCTATGACAGCATATTACTTAAATATCAAACTGTGAAAATTTAATATATAACAAATAATATGATTGCCTCTTTGTATCATCTTGTCCGAGTATAATCACGGCCGGGAAATGTCTACAGATACATGTAGAAGTCTGCTCAATAAATCATCATAAAAAATAAAACTGACATACAAATATATTATTGCAATAAAATTTTAAAATATGAGTGTATTTATGCAATACGTCCACATACCTTTGTAAAATAAAAAAAAATTCTCATTATTTTACACGGAATCGCCTTGTATGGTTGTTACAACCGTAGTAATTCATTCTATAAGTCCGTAGTTTTCTCTTCTAAAATCCACATTATTTTTTGTAATGGTTTTTTATATCAAATAAGAATAAACATATTTATTTTAAAACTAGATTAATTTCATCTGTTACACTACAGCGTTCGGTAACAATTACAATGTTTTACAGCGATAAAAATCATGTTATTAAAAAGTTGAATTTAAACATCGAACATATGTGCAGAAAATGTTGTAAGAATCTATTTTTTATTTATTTAGTTTTTTAGCACCAGGCATTAGAATACAGTAGAATAGTTTCAATGCAAGGAAAAGATCAGAGGCATTCCGAATGATTTGTTCATCTTGCGTTCACCGTTCGTTCACCGTTCACTTTGCGCTCGCGTTTGCGCTCCGTTCGCGTTCTGCGTTCGCTCACCGTTCACCGTTCACACATCGTTCACCAAGTTGCGTTCAGCGTTCACACATCGTTCACTCACCGTTCGCTCTGCGTTCCTTCAGCGTTCGTTCAGCGTTCGCTCACCGTTCAAGTGGGAAAGTAGAACGTTTCAGGGACTGTAGACCGTCGAACCAGTCCTATATTAATTGTGGTATTGAACGCACGTGAGTAGATTAATACATCACAAACAGTGATGAAAACGTAACTTTTTTTTAATTGTGCCATGAAAAATGCATCTTTATATTAAATATTTTAAAGCAACGTCACACAATTAAAGTTTCAAAAAATCTATACAGTAACTCATTTTCATTTCCTTTATATGTCCGTGTATGTCCCTCTTGATTTCAAATAATTAGTCCAAAATGTTACACAAACTCATAGCGACTACAAATATACCTATTGAATTAATTGTCAACACTCGCCACGCAGATACATATAAGTAGATCCCGCTTTGAAGTTTGAGCTTGCGTAAATAATTACAATAAAGCGTGCACCAGTTGTTCACACTTCACCGCTTTTGACTGTGCAGATTGCCGTTATATTTAGCAATTCAACAGTATAAATTCTTTTTGTTTTGTTTTGTGTCTTTGTAATTATTTCTAATTATTTTGTTCTCTTATTCATGCGTGTAAACTACTTGACCTTTTGAAAGGGGAACAACTCGATGTTAGTAACGATGGCCGCGTAAATTTTTCTCGGTAACTTGTGCAACCGCGTATATTACAACCACGCGTAATGTTTGATGGTCACAAACGCGTACTTAACAACCAGTGTAAATAACCACTTTTGCAGTGTAATTTTTCTTAAATGTTGCACAAAAATCGCATCGGCACAAGTGAAAAACAAAACTATTGTGAACGGCTTGTTACATAAATCAATTAAACGTATTCTTGGGAATATATAGCGTGCTTGGGGCAAGTCTGAATTTTATTTCTTAAGAAAATATTTTACAAGAAATTCAACTTACCCAAATACAAAGGGTCATTTTCCACTCTTCATCGCAATATATACAAAATGGGATAAATTACATACAATCCCCCAGCAAAATTCAGTTAGAAGACATATTTCTCTAGTAGATTCACACAGACTATCTTCAATTAATCCTTATTATTCACTTGTGCCAGTCTAATATATACACGATTTATAAATTCTTACTCTGTCTACAGACGCTTAAGGGGGGCGTTTCACATTTTTTTTGTAATTGTTTGAATACGTACATGTTAGACAAGAAAAAGGAATAACGATATTATACTGCAAATATTCATCATCATAACAGCCTTAAAACAACAATCCAGACACATGATCTGAATTAAACATCAACGTAAAAAAAATTCTGCATGTGATGTGAAAGGAATGTAAAAATTATGACACTTTTCCCGTCATGTCTGCTCAAATTTGCAGTGACTTGACGTCATATGCCATTATGACGTCATATCTAGGTAGTTTAGAGAAGTTACTGCGGCTGGTACATTGTGACATTCTTCGGACAGCCTTATCCTAGCCGCGTATTAGAGTCACATTATTTTTCAGAAGTCAAAGTAAGAAAAACCTATCGGTGTCATATTTGTATGTACATACAAGTATTAAAATATATTTTTGAATTTCGCAGGGTTTGATTTTGTCCCCTCCCCCCCCCCCCCACTATCTAAGAGTACTATTCCAACAAATTACTATTCCAACAAAACAAAAAGAAATTCTGTAATTTTGTGTACATAGTGCGATCCAACGCAGAACAAAAGCAACCGACAAAAGAAAAGTATAATAATATTATACGTACGGAATTTCAAATGGTGAGTCTTTGGAAAAAATCAAACTGCTTTCAATTTATTGTTTTATTTTATTTTTTATTAATTTGATCATTTAATTGCTTAATATCAGTGTTGAGCTCCATATCAATATCCTTATTTTAGAAAAGCCCTTGTTGCATTAAATCAAATTTTAATTCGAGGCTAAATAATAAAAAATAAATGGGTTTAACTTTAAAAATGATATTTAGGTCGTAGAAAGAAAAACAAAGACTACAAGATGGAAAAGATTAATAAATTCTGCTAATATTTGTAAATAATCTCAGATTGTATAAATATACACAAGAAGAACTTCTTCAAGAGAGTATACATTTGCTTGTAAATACACAAACATAAAGTTTTGCAAATAAAACGTGATTACTATTTTTTGATAAAGAAAGCAATAAAAAGAACCACATTTAATATATATATATATATATAACTAATGAAGCTAAATGGTATGTATAAAAGTAATCCGTAAATAAGAGTTTTTAAAAGGAAATTTTTTTAATCATTTTTTTTTTTTAAATACATTTTCAACAGTAAAATACTGTATTTTTTTAATGAAAAAAAGTGACATTTTGTCACAACTTGTAAGAATATCAAAGAGATATTATGTCACGGTGTGAAGAAAAAATCAAAAGTGTAACAAAACTCGATTTTCCTTCCCTTTACGAAGATTGTTATAAAAATACTTCCTGGCCTGTTACGAGAGAGAGAGAGAGTAAACAAACCATCCTGACAGAGACCACAACTGTCAAAGTTTCTCCAAAATGTGTAAATGAAATCCATAGCATGTTTATAATGTTTTCAATTTAACAATTTAAAGATAACTCATCTCAATTGCTCAACTGTGACAACCAGTGATTCTTTATCGTGGAAAGACAGAGGCGTAATGAATATCAAAGAAAATGTAATGACCAGAAAATTCAATTATTGTTACTGAATATAGAATTTATTTCACATGAGACAGGTTTTTTTTAATATTTTCACTCTTGCTTAGAACTCAAGAAAATACTTAAAAGGCAATAATTAAAACTTAACAAATTTCTTAAATATCTTTTATTTTGAAATTTACATTCATGTTTCAGATGTTTAGATTATTCAACATTATTAATTCTTCAAGATTATTACATCGTTACAATTAAAGGTCGACTCCTTACAAAACTTCCATTATGTATTAAAAATCTTTACTTAGTCTAGCAATGAGTCATGACAGTCATGACAGTCAATGAGTCATGACATATGCCCTTCTTTTTTTTCTTTTTGATCTTCTGTATGAATATATGCGTTTCATGTGTGTAAGGCATCCGTGAATGTATTGTCTGATATCTGGAGTCTCTGGTGCTCTGATTTGTTATTACATGTAAGTTTAATCATGAATGTCTTTTTAGGGCAATTTTGCTGATCATTATTCATAACTCTTATTTTATTTCTTCATTTTCATGTTCTGCACGGATCACAAGTTGCTTTGTTTCATTTTAAAGATGCTCATTTTCTAAGATAAAAACACCCCCATTCTCTTCACTTATTATAATCTCGTCGTAAGCTGGTACATTTTCATCGCACATATTTTGTTCATCAAGACGTCGTTTGGTCCTTTGATGCAATTCTATCCACATAAAGATTATAACAAAAACAATAAGAACACCTCCAAAGACGTACACACCCACGCGAAGATAAAAACGGTTTTGGTTAATCTTGTCAATTTTCTCACTGAAGTACGTTGTACCTGAAAGACAGTGACATCCCTTAGGAATTTATTTCCCTAATGCTGGATTTTCTGCTATGGTTTGTGTTTCACAGGATTAAAATGGAAAAGCATGTCCCTGGTTCAAAGTTTATGCACAAGTTTCTTATATATTTGATCTTAGTAAAACTCACCTGAAATTCAAACTTTTTATTTTGATTTTGCAGATCTTCCGCCATGTGCAGTGAAATTTAAAATAAATATTCTCTTATGTGATCAGATATTGCTTAATTTGGACATTATTGTACAGAGTAAAGGTATTATTCCAAAATTCTGTAGTTAAACAATATTAATGACGGTATAAAAAAGTTACAAAATCCTACAGTACAAAAAAGCATACAAATTTACTTATAGCCAATTAAATCTACCTGGAACAACCAATTTGTTTTTAATTACTAGTATTCTTCCAAAATCCCGCTATATATTCAAGTCTAGTATAAAAAAGGCATAGCCTTATTATAGGTAAATAATATTGCAGACCCTTTTACCTTTGAAGCATTGTTATAAGAATCGTACCTTGAGTATAATTTCCCTTAATATACTTAAAAATACAAATCACTCACAAGATTCATAGTATTTTACTAAAAATTATATCCAGCGATGATTAATGCTTTTGAATGGCTGCGTGTATATTTCTGTTGACTTATTATTCTTATCTTCTTTTTTTAAATTCATCATTGGATTGACGATAAGCATTAATTATTTTGATCAGCTTTACATTATAAACATGCATACAAAATTCACATTAAAATGGCAACAAATAACAACAACAATGACAATTTTTACCGTTACTTTCGGTGTTTGGTAAAGAGCATCCTGTAGCATAGTTACAATCTTCTAAAGAGCAGTTACAACTCTGCGCACATTGTTCACCGTAATTTGGGAATGGACACTTCTCCATACAATTGATTCCAAAATGTCCTGGATTGCACTCTACATTACAATTAAAAAGGCTTATCATAGCTCCTCGTCATTAACTACTTCAAATCAAATAAAACAGTATACGGATATATACAATGCATCACAGGCAAAGAGGTATATTATCAAAATTTAAGATGAAATGTTTCGAAACAGGAAATATTTAGATGGAGTTGCTCGAAAGATTGACATTTAGTCCAGACTGAATAAAACATCGTTGTCAAGTGATTGTTTGTTTGTTTATTGTTTAAAGTCCCTCTCGAGAATTTTTCACTCATATGGAGACGCCACCACTTGCCGGTGGAGAGCGTTAAATTTTGACCTAAACTCAGCACTCAGGGCCATCGAGCAGTGAGAGATGTTTTTCGTGCCAACACTTACTGCGACACGGGACCTCGGTTTATACGGTCTCATCCGAAGGATCGGTCTCCACGTCCCACAGTGGGATTCGAACCCGCGACGTAAGGATCAATTCCTTATTCCGCGAATCTAGAGCGAACCATCTAACCACTGCGCCACGCGGGCGTCTGTCAAGTGATTGTCTTACAAGGCAAACATTGGATAGGGTAAAACATCTAGTATATGTGTTTAGAAACACAAAGGTTAAAAATATATTAGTTATCCCTCTAGCTAGTTACCAACACATTTCCGACTCTCCTTTTTAAACCAGTAATTACTGCAACATGTTACACCATTGTCCCTATATGAAAAAAAATATATATGAAAGAAATATCCTTCAGTATGGAGAGTTTAATTGAAAAGCATATACGAATACAAGAACCGTTAATTAAATATTGTTTTTTATAGAACATACCCCTCACAAAGTGCATATTCTGCTGAAATGAATTGAAATTTTTTTTCAGGATAAAAAAAATCAAAACATCATACATTCAAAATTAAAAGAAATATTCATGTTTTCTCTTTCGATTACTTATTTTAAGGGCATATCAAATTACATAGCTAGAGTTTTTAGACTTTTATCTCTGCTTATAAAATCATTTCTACATTATTCTAATATCTTTTATAGATACACATGGTAAAATGAAATATAAAAATGATATTCAAAAAATCATCATTATAAGAAAAAAGAATTAAAAATAACACTTAAAATTTGAAAGGATCAAAACCTTTAATGGTTGAAAAAATGTTTCTACAGATTAATATGTTTCAAATAATTATTAGACCTTCATTTGCTTACCTGTGTCCTCAGGATGGCATCCTCCAATCGGATGACAATAGGATGACGAACAGTTACATTTATGTATACAGAGCTCTCCGAAGTATGGATATGGACAGACATCTGAGCAATTCTTACCATAGTACCCGTCTGGACATTCTGAAGCGTAATGTTTCTTGAATTTAATAATTACTTTCTGTAATCTGTTTTGAAGAACATGAACTAAAATTCTTTAAAAAAAATCATTACTTACGCAAACATTGGTCCATTTGTTCTTCGTACCAGTAGCCCATGCAACATTGTTTCTGACCATCTTCACTAAAATCAAGAATCCATGCATATTTCATTTTTGTAGTAATTAATCATGGGATTGTATCAAACTAAAATCTTACCTTCCACAATTCTGACTCAAACTTGACCAAACCACCAAACATAGAATAAGCAATGGAAGGCGAATATTTTCCTCATTTAGAGACATTAGAAACACTGATCTTTTGTTTCCAGGAAAAAGTACTTTTTATGTCGTGTTGAAACTCCTGAATGAAAATCCATATGGTTTCCTGTCTAGGGTTTATTGGAACGTTTGCTAAACAAGAAATGTAACATTTTTAACTTCGCAGTAGCTACATTGATAATAATGATAATGATAATAATGAGTTTTGCAGAAAATATGGTATCATGCAAAACATTGGAGTAAAATATACAAGTTTGCTTACTAAGATACGTAAAATGTATTACTTACTTTGTTAATATTTACAGTATGTATTCAATCATTGACATACGGACCATTGGATAAAAATACAAGGAAGAGTTGAATGTATAGATTGTGCGGAAAAATTCTCAAACTGGAAATCAATAGGATTATTCCTATATACACATATACATTAAGTATAACATGGATGTGAAGTGTAAGTTTTTCCCATTTCAAATAAAACATAACTTCCTCAATATTCAAACATTATTATATCAATTGTACATGATAGTTGCAATGCTATCAATTTAAATATTCATAATCACCGATGGTTAGAACAAGCATTTATATTTGAAAGACTTCAGTCTCGGTCACTTTTCGTAACGTTACCTGAATATTTCGTTTATACGACATCGAAGGCACCTTCATTGGTTGTATGATGTTTTACGTCCCATTACAGAATTTTTCACTTATAAGATGACGTCACCATATACCAGTGAAGGGCCGTGACATGGAATCTCGGTTTTAAGTTCTCAACCGAAAGGCCCGTGACTTTCATCACTAATGCCAGGCGCTTAGCGAAGGAACCGTTACTCCCTACATTTAGTCTTCGGTTTAACGCGGCACAGCAAACAAGAATCGAACCAGCGGACCTCCCAATCACGAAGCGAACGCTCTATCATTAGCCTACCGTGACCGGTATTTATGCAAATTGATAAGGAACCAATCTTGTTTTTTTCTGCTTCAAACCGAGTCGATGGTATTTCAGCCATATTTCGGAGGTAAAAAATTTACTGAAATGAACAGTAGTCCAAGCACATCACAGCTATTATGGTCTTTAAAAAATCGAACATACTATCATAGTAGTAATTCAATTTAAACCTTATTGTGTAAGGTTTCTATTCTCTATGTAAAATCCAACAAGAACTGTATTAAATACTTGTATACATTGTAAATAAAATAATTATTATTTTACTTGCGTATTTTGTACATTTTTATACAAGAAAAGCATGCTACAGCTGTCTATTGCTAAGTAGAGTAAGTCTTTTTATGTACATATTGCTGCGCTGTGCGATTAGTTCTCGTAATGACCTACATGTGTATGACCTTCGAAAAACTATATTTGCTCTCTGTATGTTTATGTAATAGAGAAATACAACAAATGTATATATTTCATAATATGGATATGACGAATAACAGACATACCAAAGTAAATTCAGAGGTCCTTAGGACTTTGGTCTAACCAAGTTTTACAGTACAAAGATTTTCCCTACATAATTTTGTACGAAATACTTAATCCATTTCATAGCCTAACACAGATTTCAGAGATCATGATTTGAGCTAAATCTAAATTTAATTGTATTACTAAGGATACCATTAATCTGACAAAAGTCGCCCGCGTGGTGCATTAGTAGAGCGTCTGCTCAAGAGTAGCGGAGTAAGGAGTTGATCCTTACGTCGCAGGTTCAAATCCCACTGTGGGACCTGGAGATCGGTCCTTCAGATGAGACCTTGTTAATGACCTTGTCAGCAAATACAATCTTTCAATAAGTCAAATGCTGACTGACTTTTTTCCTGCTAATTGTTAGCCAATATTTACACACCTGAATTGTTGACGAATTTTTCCGTTATTTCCCGATCATGACAAGGAGCACACGGCGGGTGTGGCCGGTCAGCAGGGGATGCTCACTCCTCCATGGCACCTGATCCCACTTCTGATATCTTAGAGGTCCGTGTTTTCTCTGCTCCTATTTTGTAATGTTTAATAGACTTTTGAATACTGTTCGTTATCTCCACATATTTCATGAGACCGTATAAACCGAGGACCCGTGTCGCAGTAGATGCTGACACGAAAAATATCCCTCACTGCTCAACGGCCTTGAGTGCCGAGTATAGGTCAAAATTTGCAGCTTTCCACCTGCAAGTGAAAAATTCTCGAGAGGGTCGTTAAACAACAAACAAACAAATTAATCTGACAAAATATATGCAGCTTCTTTGTTCCCTAAGAAGACAATTTTATTGTTTCAATAATATGATTTATATTCAACTCTTAATTAGTACATGTAAATTTTTTAATCCAAATCATGTCCCCATCCTTAACAAAACTCGGTATCACATGCATCGAACACAATGAGGATGCTGGAATTATTTACTAATATAGCCATTAATGCTTTGCAAATTTCTTCCCCATCGTACCATGATCATGATGTTTTCTACTTAAAACCAATATTGATCCACTTAAAACATTGACTGCCAATTTTTGCTATATCCTGGAAACCATGATTTATCACACTCAAAATCTACAAACAAGCTAATAGAAATTTTATGGCGCAATTGGAAGCTTATTTTTAAATTTATTATACTGGTCCCAATTTCAAGTTTCTATAATAGACCAAACACTTTTAAATTCCAATGCTACCCACTTGGTAATTGAACGTTAAGATTCAAGGTCTGACCTAATTTGCAACTAAAATTTTTCAACTCTGCTCTACAAACTGAGCCACTGTGGTGAAAACATATTTTATTAGAGATAAAGTCATTAATTATAGGTTATGGTAGTACTTAATCTACAATAAGAAAAATCCCTGTAAATGTTGTATGCAGTTATCTTGCTAGCATTTACATGTACGATTGCAAGTCACACTTGCTAGCTCTCTCTCTCTCTCTCTCTCTCTCTCTCTCTCTCTCTCTCTCTCTCTCCGACTAATAATTAAATCAAAACGCATATAATTCAGTAAAAAGAAAATCAATTAAAAATGACTGGTTTATGCATTTTGTAATAATTTGAGCAGGTATTTATTAAATCAAATATATTTCATACACTATGAAAATATTAATTCATAAGAAATTTAAAAAATATATAGATTATATAAAAGAAAGTAAAACTATGCTTGCAGTTTTCTTTCTTTTTAAAAAAAAATAGGCTCGCATATAGGGATACGATACAATTATCATGGTTTTATGCATATGAGTACAAATATGTATGTACAATATTGGATTTATATAAACATACATCTGGTCGCCTGCGTGGCGCAGTGGTTAGAGCGTCTGCTCTAGAGTCGCGGCGTAAGGAGTTGATCCTTACGTCGCGGGTTCGAATCCCACTGTGGGACGTGGAGACCGGTCCTTCGGATGAGACCGTATAAACCGAGGTCCCGTGTCGCAGTAGGTGCTGGCACGAAAAAGATCCCTCACTGCTCAATGGCCGTAAGTGCCGAGTACAGGACAAAATTTGCAGCTCTCTACCGGCAAGTGGTGGCGTCTCCATATGAGTGAAAAAATTTTCGAGAGGGACGTTAAACAACATACAAACAAAAAAAAAAAATAAACATGCATCTGATTTCAGACTATGATTGAAAATATATTTTGATATCAGATTAATTTTTACCGGGAAGAATAAAGCTTCAACTAAAGTTCAAAATGCAATTAATATGAAGTTGATGGTCACATGACTCTGCTTAACAACGTCATAGTCTCCGTTATATAAGTGTAAAACGTGTTAAACATTAGTTCTCGTATAAATTTTTGTCAATTTGTTTTACTTTAATTACCATCTTATATAAAAACATTAACATTCTTGTAAACATTAACAAATTAAGAAATAGATTGATCCACTCCTATGTTTCCCTAAACTGCGTCCGACATGTCGGTGACGTCATACACGATCTGTTAGTACAGCAACATCATACTAGGTGAATACACGAGCGGTATTACCATGTAAAAACAGGTCATAATCAGTATATGATGAAATATTTTGAAAGACGGGGAACACAAAAATTATTTTTGCATGGCTGATGACGGGAATCTCATGTAGGTGCGTCTTATTTCGCTTATTTACCTTACATGTGACGTCATAGTTGGTTTTTCCCGTACTCGAGAAATGTAAACATGACACGTTTTTATCATGCTTCTGCCTTCTTTAACGATTTCCTGTGCAATATTGAGGTCAGCTTCACCATTCAAAATTTTTACTGTTAATCAATAATATGAAGGTCCTGCATTTCGAAGTAAATTTTTAAAAAACTGAATCAACGAATATTTTGCAAACTAAGTTTTTTTTTGTTTTTGTTTAAGTTGTCTTAAAAAGTACTAATTTTCCCTATCCAGATACAGTGTGATAGAAGAAACTTCCTTCTTCAAATTTTAAACCCTATTCATACTCTGCAATATTTTAAAAGACATGTTCACTTACTTTTTTTTATCTATGCTTAAAATATCCTATTATGGACAGAGTAATGGGCCAGGAAACATGGAGAATTAAAACTCTACTTAGATACTGTAGTACATAGTATTTCTCAATCAATATCTTTAAAATTAGGAAAGAAACCTCATGATATAACTATGGGACATATTTAATAAGAAATATACAAAATATGATAAAAATTGAATTATAAGTATTTTATAAGCTCAAGGTCCTTCTTCCCCTTAAAAAGACACCAACCCAGGTTCAAGTCTGGCAGGTCTTTCATCAGGCCTAGGGCATGGCATGACACAACATATGATTGACATGGAAGAAAAACGACAGAGCAGACCAGGAACCGTCGCCTTCTAAAATCTAGATAGACAGGTGCTCTACAAACTGAGGTATTTAGTTTTTTGGCTACTGGTATTCAAATCTGACTGACTTCTACATTCATATATTCTCTTGTAGGCTAGATATAATTATTCATTTATGAGAAGTACAACCGCTTAGCCTTCATTTCAATTACACTAGTATTTACTTTCATCATCACCTTCTTTTAGAGTATAAGTGGAATAGGTATATATTTTCTAGAGAAATCATTGCAAATATCATCAGCACACAACAAGCTTTTGATTAGGTCATTACATATAGAAGGATAGCTTATGGGACACTGTCTGGATTTGATTCACCATTTTCAATGTTTAATCATATACCTCCTTTATATCATCTCGAAACGATGCACTTTCCTAAAAATGCGATATAATGTGTTTATGTTACTAGAACTGGCATACTTAGTTTTCCAGCCTGGTTAATTTTCTCCCTTGTACGATCTACAAGGGGTCACATATGCCATAATATGATATGCATCACGCCCGTACATGCAATTTCTGGATTGGGAGGGGCTCAAGCTTTCCATTTCAGTTTCAGAAGGGGGTTCATAACCTTACATAAACTTTTTTGAAAAGCAAGTGAAAAAACAAAAAAAAAGCATCGTGTATTATTATTGAGGCACGACTGTAAGTTATCTCCTTTTCTCATTGTATACTATATACTGGAGAAATCATCCCCTAACCACCCACAGCTATGTTCTTACGGGCCTGGTATATAACTTGTCCAAAGATCCAATCATCACGAAACGAATGAACACATTTTTTTCATCTTTTTATTATTTGATAACTAGTCATTATTGCACCTCATATATAAATGTTTTAAGTATAGTAAAATATTTATAAAAAGCCGTGCTCCTAATAGCAAAATGAATTATATAAAATTCGGTTTTCGATTAACAATTTCAATCAATACGCATATCATTCAGTATAAAAAAAATAAATTAAGAATAATTGATACTTGCATTTTATAATAATTTGAACAGGTAATATTAAAAATATATATTTTAGAACATTATGAAAAGAAAAATATTGATTTATAAAAATAGAAATATGGAAATTATAAAAGAAAGTAAAACTATGTTTGCAGTTTTCTTTCTTTTTTTAAATAAGCTCACATACATGTATAGGGATACAGTAAATTTATCATGGTTTTATGCATATTTGTACAAATATATACATTTATGTACAATACTGGATAATATAAACATGCACCTGATATCAGACTATGATTCACAATATATTTTGATATCAGTTTAATTTGCACCGGTAAGAATAAAAAGCTTCAACAAAAGTACAAAATGCAAATTAATTTGAAGTTGATATTGTTTCTTTTTTCCAACCTTTAAAGTCGTGGATGAATTATGATTGGAACCCTTTGTGCTGGTGTTAAAAACAAACGATATCTACTCTTTAATTTTCCTCTGGCTCCCGAGGGTAGTGATATCTCAAGGTGTCGAAAAAACTTGAAAGGTAACGAATCATAATTGAAAAACATATACAGAACACAGAATGCTTAAGAGAAAAAGAGCTTTTTTTCTAACTTCATCTGTTTATTTGCTGGTAGACCATTTGAGGTTCTCTAACCCTCTGGCAACTTCCTTTATTAATGTAGAATAATTCAAACATCACATTCCTGTGATGTTATATCTCTCAACTGATTCAATACGCAAAAGCATGTTCTGCGTACGATCAATGTTTAAACCGAGGCAAACTATAGGCAAATAAATAGATATTACAAGGAATATATCGGTCCCGTTTAAACTCAGCTTTTGGCAAATTTTACATTTTATATTGACCTTGTCTGTATATTCAACCTATTGTAAGGTCTCATTTCATACTATTTGTAATGTTACTGGTTTTGTATTGAATTTGATTGCGGAGAGCTCCGTTTATCTAATCAATACATAGGGCTGACGGCAGGTGTGACAGGTCGACAGGGAATGCTTATTACTCCTAGGCACCTGATCCTACAGGTGGTGTTTTCAGTGGTCCGTGTTTTTACCCTGTTCACGATTAGCTTTGTTAAATGGATTGATGGGATTTATTACTGTTTGTTATCTTCACCTTTTGCATAAGAGAGATAACTCTCACTAGATTTAAGGTTTTTAAAAATTCATAAAATTAATCAATTAAATAGCCATACAAATATATGTCAAATTTTACATTGTAAGGTATGCTGAAATTAGTTGCATTTCAATAATAATTTCAATTACTTTTGAAAAGTCGCTATATTTCAAGCAACACTATGTATGAGTGAACGAAAGGAAGAAGATTAAGCCTGAGAGAATGATAATTATTAAAACTTTTGTTTTGAAAAGTACTTCTACACAGAAATTTATCAATGTAGATAAATACCTTCGCTGTTATTGTGTGCATCATTGTTTCTGCAAATCTTTGGCCAATGCAACTTCGGGTACCAAATCCAAATGGAAGTGTCGCATATGGGTATAAGTTTCTTATGTCACCAATTTTTGGATCTTCATCTCGAAGAAATCTCTCGGGCAAAAATTCCTCTGGATGGTTAAAAAATCTAGGATCACCACAAATGTGTTGAAGAAAAACGAATATTTCTGTCTAAACGAAAAGAGAAAATACTAATGCTAAGAGAAATAACTAAAAATGTCATATACTCTAGATTATATTTGTACTTTCAGTTAGAATAGATTTGACAAAGTAACAACCCGTATTTAACAATGAATTTGTGAACATGCCACGAACCTGCTTTTATACAGATTTAAATACAAATTGCTCACATCGTTTTATATAAGGGACAACATTTGCAAACGTAAATATATACTACTAACACATGAAAATTCTGTAAAAGATCTTATTGACTCTTATTCAATATACATTTAAAAGAATTCTTGAATTTTCAAATAAAAAATGAAATACTTTTCAACCTTGATCAGCTGATTAGAAACTCACAGATGCTGGTATTTGATATCCTCCAATAAATGAATCTTCTTCTAGTCGTCGAATAACACCTGGCGTCGTTGGAGGGTAAAGTCTACATTTTAAAGACATTCAGACCTGATATAGATGCATGTATATTTATAGAACCTTAGTGGTGATTTGACTTTTGTGTTTAATGAATTACACGTAAGGTACAACCTGTGATAGTAATATTTTAAGAAGAAACAGTTTTATAAAATTCACTCTGTTTATTTTTATTTATTTCATTTCATGTATCAGCTGTAATGATTTTTATTTATAATATTTTAACTGTTTGTAGAAAATTAAGACTTGACATTTCTTTTCTTTTTTTCATAAGAAGCTTTTAAAAAAAATGTTCAATTCTCACCTCATGACCTCTTTGACACATGCTTTAAGATACGGCATCCTTGTTAAAGATTCTTTCGTAACACCATTATTACCACACACTGAAAGGATCTCCTCATGAAGTTTCTGCTGTTTGTCTGTGTTTCTTGCCAACTCAAACCAAAGAAAGGATAGCACATTGGATGTCTACGGGAATTAATGTAATAAGTTATATCTGTTCACGAAACATGCATGAATGTCTTAAATTTTCCTCTTTTATATAGATTATAACAATCACAATTCGACATTATCCATATCTAACAGGGAAGTTATAGATAATTGATCAATGTTCACTTCTATCAATGGTTTTGCTGTATTTTCTTAAAAGGAAAAAAATTCAAAACATAGCTCGATTGTAAACTTGATATAATTGTACAAGATATCTATGTCTTTAATTGTCTTCTCTCATGTAATTGAAAAATCATTACCGATTCTACACCTGCGAGAAAAAGATCCAGTAGCACACTTTTGACCATCTCAGGGGACATCTTTGGATGTGTCAGGAGTGCATAGAGTAAATTTGGACCCTGGATATATTCTTCCAGACGTCCTTCTTCTTCTGCATCTTTCAATTTATCAATAGCTCCTTGGATTTCTGTATTGGTTACGCTTTATGATAGAGTATATATGAAAGTTCAAAGTCCATCTTTTACTTCATGAAACATGTATATCATTCTTTTATCATCATCATTATTTTAATTCATTTTTATTTTTTTTGATTTTTTTTTTATTTATTATTATTTTTTTTTTTTGCAGTGCTTTCGTTTATCGCCCTTATATTTTTCTCATACAATGAAAATTTTCAATCAACCTTTTACTTGTTGTAATGAGGAAAAATTGACAAAAAGAACGTCTATTTATGTTAAGTAAATTCTCAGCAAAATGGTGTTGTAGACAAAAACACTACAAAGACCTTAATTACCCAAAAAGTTGATCAGCTGCCCTTTCGAATTTCCTATAGAGAGGAGTTGATACGTATTTGTAAAAGCTCGGTCCGAGTCGTTTCAAGTCTTGATCACAAGCCTCAAAAATGTCATTCAAATGATTATTGTCCAAAACTGAAGCCCCTTCTATGCAGCCTAAACGTTTGTTAAAACACAACATTCCAGTACCTAAGAAGATATAAGAATTCAGCAAAAAAAATTATTTAAATTAATACAAGTGTAAGGCATTCTTCCTCTTAATCAGATCTTACTTTTAATTAACGTTAACGACATGCAAATCACAAATCCAATAGTGTGTGCTGTACAATAAATACCAAAACTCTAGTTTTCCTTTTTTACACATTATTTTTTACAGTTATTCAGAATTGCAAGGAGAAGAAAAGATCAATTCCCATGGATGTGAAAATTTATTTTTTTTTAAGAAATATTGATTAAAGTTATCACGTAATATTTCTTTGCACGTATATATCTTATGTTTTCCATGACCTGGCATTTTTTATTGGTTAACAATGTTTTATTCATTTTTAGAACCAAACTGGAAAACAACAAATAGATCATGAATAAAGAAAATATTAAGCGGGAAAAACTCACATTCTGTGACATAATTCGTGATCTCAGACTTAAAATCTTCAATGAGTCCTCCATTTGTGTGTTTCCTTACAAAGTCGTCTGCCACCTCTGAAAGGATACTGACGTATTCAGACACAGCTGCTGGTCTCAGCATTTGTTCCTGCGTTGGTTTGCGGAGTTTAGCCCAATCCTCCCCCTGACTGAATCATTTAAAGGATCTCGATATTAAAGTATCAAGATTCCAAGATTGATGTAATGATAAGCTTGATAGTAAGATTATTAGTAAGTATATTCTTATTTTTGAAAACCTCTTCACTTGAAATAAAAAAAAGGTAACCAATTAGGAGTTGCGATTGTTTTGAAACCACAAAGCTAATGAAATACTAGCCGGCTATGTAAATATTATTGTGAGGTACGCAATCACAATCAAAACGAACTTTTACATGTAACAGTATAATCTATATTTTTTTCTTGAATTTGTGAAAAAAGTACTTACAGATTACCCAAAGCAGGGTACAGTTTCTTATGCTCACTGTAAACCTTGTACACTTCTACACCGGAAGTAACTGGCAGTTTTGTGTGCTTTTCAAGAACCTCTTTTGCAATGTCAGGATGAAAGACAAAAATTCCCCACTTCCTTTTTATCCGCAATTTGACAATGTCTCCGTACTGTTTCTGCATCTGAGCAGCAAACTTGTGAAATTCAAAGTTCTTTAGTCCCCCTGTCACAGACACATGTACATATAATATAAGGTTTGCCGTAGTACTTTTAACAATTGTAAAAAAAAGAAAAGATAAGAATTTGTAGCGAACGTTTTACCCTGCTTTTTTGATTTCGCGAGAATGTACGGTGTGCATATTATGGCTTTAGCTATAAAATATATAAATGGTACTAAATCACGCTAAATTAAAGGGGTTTATTTTCAGGATCCCTCTTACCCTGTGATTGACTTAAAAGCATTATTCCAATATACGGCAGGTTATATAATGGATTTGGTCCAGGAATATCCTCGAGAGTTTTCATATCCAATGATTTACTTACAGTTGGCTGAGAATTTGACTGGAATCGAAACAATCGTGGAGACCTGTTAAACGTAAAATGTCAAAAACTGTATCGATTCGCTTAAATTGTGTACAACTTGATATCATTGTTAAAGGGAGATTGTCATTCTTTCAACAGCTTTATGATAGAAAATTAAATTATAAGGAATAAATTGAATAACTGCATGTACTCAAATATGCATGTATAATCTGAGTGGGAACATTTTACGTTTTTATTTACAGCTTTGCAGTGTAAAAACCGTAATTTGTTCCAACCCAGGTAATACCTTTAACCTGGGTAGCTAAAATATTCAGTCCTTAATTGACTTCAATTATCTGCGACTACGTAAAGGGTAAAAATCAGAACATCCGTAATTTAAACATTAACAAGCCTGATTCTTTTTTTATTATAATATTTTTTTGCAATTTATCATAAATGAAGTGAAGAAAATATGGCTAATGATTTTATTGTGATGTACATGCACGTCCAGGACATGATATTCTCCCATAGTAGTTTCCATCAAAGTGTCGATCTCACCTTTTTGCTTCTTTTGAGAGCCTATTTATAATTTTGAGAAGGTTTCGAGGATCCATACTTCTTGCTTCAATCTCTTCTCTCTACAATATAGTGACAAATGAGTACTTTACTATATCAAATATATATACATGCTTTAATGAGTGCTCTTATGAGTGCAATCATATCTGACTTGAGTTACAAAGACAATATGCACATTTTTTTTACCACAGTTGTCTTAAACTAAAAAAAAAATATAGGTCTTGCAATTAAGAATTAGTTACAAATTAATATTTCTTACTAGTTGTTTTAAGTCTTTTGTAAGCAAATATCGAAAACAAAAGACTATTGATGGTAAATGAAACCATACAATGTATAGAACATCTTAGCGTCATAAAAATTATCATTATACCTTCACTGTTATTACTCTATGTACAATAAACACCACAACACCCCCTTGCCATGAATACTCCCTGTAAAGTCAGAGCTACACCCTGGAACCACTCCCTCAGTGATATTCCTAATATTTTTAACCAATTAAAATTCTAGATGGGAGGAGTGTCGAGTCAGTTATGTTAAACTATTAGGTAAATAACAATGAGGTTAAAAAATTTTATTATTCGACGTCAGAATCAGACTGTAATGATGGCAAAATGACAAACATGATAAGTCTTTCAGATATATGTGAAGTCTCCAAAACCCAATATACTTGGTCTACGCATGCGATTTCACTCAGAAATGTTTCAGACCTGTCACAATATCCTAGATTGCCGTCACAATTGAATACAATAACATCACAGTTAAAATTACACCAAACTGTGCTAAATATATCTCATGGTTCTTACATTGGGGCGAAAGTAAAAAGCTTTTACATATACTTATTCTTGCATTTCTATCAATTATTATTTTTTTATCATGATAAATAAATGTTTTTATTAATGAAAAACTTTTAAATAACAATTTGTTTTGATTATATGGTCAATTCTTATGTAGAAATTCAACTGTTCTATTTCTATATAGTATTAAGTATCATTTCAACTTCTAAATTCGAAAAAAAAAACTGCAATTAAAATGAAGCGCATTTAGGCTTTCTCCTTGAAAAGGTTTTTTTTTTTACCTTGGATGTTGTTGACTTAACATGCATACATTAGTTTGAATTTTTAAATCTTTTCATGAGTTATTTGAATACAATCAAGAAGAAATATATGTTTCCTACATATTGCATAACCTTGAAATTTAATCGCCTTTGCAAACATCTCCAATGTGTTGTGTTAAAAAAGATAAAAAAATAAAAATAAAATTCGTTCTTAGTGTTTGAAGCATTTACTGTTGTAAAGCATTCAAAGTACAACAATTGTTGATGTGCATTTATTTTGTATCATCTGTTTTTACCTGCAAAGCATCTTTGATAGAATTGATGTACTAATTTCGTGTTTTGATATGCCCCCTTTTCATTTTCATTTCTATAGAGGCTAATCCCCTTTTCTTTCAATTTTCAAATAAGGAATGGCTAATAAATAATTTATATGACAAGTAAATAATCTTACCCTTAAGTTGTTTTTTTTTTTTTTATTTATTAATTCCTTTGCTAATAGAGTAATTTTGGCATCTTAATATTTGTAAAATCACGAAAAATGGTCTATATTTTGAAATGATATCCATTACCATTACACTACAATCAAGACAAGGCTTCTGATTTCATTTTTATTTTAAAGCATTGTCCATACAAAAACATTTCAAAGATCAAAAATAGTTGACGGTCTGTTTTTGTAATTTTCAATTAGAATGGGCTCGTTATTTATTTTTAAACGTGTTATTATTTTCCTCGATGTTCATTAATAAATAATTTAATGAAATTTCAGTGAACAGTGTTTATTTGAATGCTTCCATATTGTCTAAAATTCTTGTCCGAGTATCTTTTATGATTGTTTCCGTAAAACAAAAGTTATGTAACGGGTAATCGGGAAATATATAATTTTTCGGAGGCTTCGCTATCTTGCAAAACAATCGTCACAATGACATTGTTATCAAAGATAACCTATCATTGGGTTGTATTTTTACTTACATATTTCATACCAATTATTAGGCCTTTGTTTTTTTACTTAATTTTACTATGAAATGTTCCGTCTACCTCATTAATTCATAAGGCTTATGGCCAGTGTGACCGGTCGACACGGGATGCCTACTCCTCCAAAGCACATGATCCCACATCCGGATTTCCAGGGGTCCGTGTCTTATATACCTTCACAGATTTGTATTGTTCGAAGGGTTTTTGAGATCGCTCACTGTTCGCTATCTTCACCTATTTCTTTATCCTTTCCTCTGTAACCCTTGAAAACGTGCAATGCAAATATAGGTAATAAACAACATTATTCAATGAACATGGCCTTGTGAATTGCAATTGCTCTAGATCTGCTGGAAAATGCCATTCCAGCATTTGATATTCATTAAGCCATGTTCGCTAAATAATGTTTCTTATATATTAGTGAATTATCCTTAAGCATACTTTAACTAAAGCTATCAAATTGCTTGGGGGAAAAATCCATTCCTAAAATTATAATATAATATTACGAAAACTAAATAATCAGTGGAAACAATTTTGAAGTATTCGAAAATTAATTTCTTATTATTTACACTTAAAAACTTATGTCTTATCATCTTTGAAAGTGTGCAAGTTTAAAACAATATGGGCTGTATTTTTAAGAATTCTACTTTTCTTTAAAATGAGTTTTTATGATGCATAAAATTCTTCCTGAACATAAACCTTCATAGAGAATACTCAGTCTACTTATGTTTTATCAAAGAAGGATTTCTTCACCATGGATTTTTTTTTAATTACTGTTTTATAAGAACTCAGTTTTATACAACGTATCAGATAAGTAATGTTACATCCATCAGAGCTCCTGAATATTTTTCCAATGCAAATAAGAATAACAAAAGTTTATCAACCTTCATTTTATCCCTCATTGCGATAATATAGCAATTTTTACAACAAAATTACCTATAATAATGTTCTTTTCATAGTTACATGTAGCGCAATAAGTAAATTAGTACAGAGAAAAGTGTCGACACCTTTAGAACTCTTTCCCGCACCATAAAGACCTATCAAATTACTCAACCCTCATAATCAGCTCAAATAATACCTAAGCTATCACTATACATTTTAAAAAACACACTCCATTCCATTTAAACAAACTTCTTTAAGTAATTTTTTTTTCAAGATAACAGTGATATTTTTGTCTTTATGCATTTCTTTCACTGAATAATTAATGAAAATATCCTGAGGACCATTATAGTAATTCAAATATCAGACCATTATAGTAATTCAAATATCACCTATGGATCAACTAGAACAATAAGTAATAGCAGGAATGAAAAGTTGCGCAAACACACGATTTAATAAAGACTACTCTATTTAATCCATTCCAGTGAAAAACCATGTATTATATGTATTTCATTTAAGCATATAAATAGTTTCTTATGAGTATTTTTCAACCCTAATAAAGCTTTGAGTATAATTAATATACGACTGCAGGAACCAAACTGGAGACTTTTTTAGAGATAAATAACTTAAGCAATGATTATTCCAACAGAAAATATAATTAAAATATATCAAATTTAAAAAAAATCCGTTTTAACTACAATGATGATTTCCCAAATAAATAACTAGATGCAATTACTGTTATTTTTAAAATATTTATTCTGCATAGGACAGAAACTTTACTTACCTATCGCAAGATAGTAGTTCTATTGAATGTATCCTGGCCTGTCGACCTAAATACCTGTCTAGTTCAACGGCATTTATATTTGGTTTAGGTTATTGCCCCCCTCTACTTCAGATTGCAAGCACTGCTGGGTTTAAGGATTTTAAATCAAAATACAAGTTATGCAATATCTTGAAGTGCAAAATGTCTTTTACAACAATACAACTCGCAGTGCATTCACCTAAATGTATGTATCAAATATCTTTTGCACTTGATATGGGCCATGGATTTTAGATCTTGAGATATATCTTACATTCTGTCGTCTGTCTGTTTATTTTAATTTAAAATTTAAAAACATGTTCTAAACATGATTTTCAATGTAATTAAAGTACCAAGACTTGAAAAATACATTTTTTTTTTCTATTGCATATCACAAGACATTTTTACTAGGGCATGTACTACTCAAGATCTACGTTGAAAGACTTTTTCGTAAACATTTGTTGAATGATGATACATGTACATGTATAAAATCTATCTTTTGACAAATGTCTCTATACAAGGTCTAATAAAATTGAAAAATATGTGACCTACTTTGAAAAGATTCTTTTTAAATCGATTGATTGACTTTGATATCTAATATGACAGTTGGTTGCAATTTGTGTCTTTTGAACTACTGACGAGGTAGTCCTGACCTTTAGTCGTCTTGTATGTAAAACTTCATGAGTAGCGTTCATGGGTAGCGAGGGTTTGACTTTTGATACACATACATATTACCAATTTATTTAAAACTTTTTAGACCTTTAAGTTAATACTTTGGTTAGTTTTTCCCAATCATAGAAGTAAGAGAAAAACTGTTCTAGTATGATCAATTTGTAGCTTTCATTTTTTTCATATTATAAATATTGTGTACTTTGAAAAACTGTAACTTAAATTCTATAACACAGTCCCAAAATGCATGTCGAAATACTTTTGTCAATTTTAATGTTCTATGTATTTTAACTGATTAATGTAGTCGTAAAGGTTGTTGTGTTATTCCTCGGATAAAAACTGAGTGGCATCAGTTAAATATTTACAAACTGTACTGTCTGCAAATGCATTTGTAAAACACGATACGACCCATTTTTTTTTATCTTTAAATATGACCCTCATTCCACTTAAATTGACTGTCATTAAGATAGAAAAAGTTCAGTGAACTCTTGAGTTTGCCCGATGTCAACATCCTTAAAGATAATTTATGCACTTTTTAATCATGTTGATATTCACAATTGATTTTCATTACTTATAACTGGGAAAATTTTTAAGTGAATTCAATGTTTATATTTTGAGACTATTTAAAAATGCTTTCATTGTTCATTTTTCTACATACATTATAAATGGTTTTGAGAGACTCAAGGGTCAGTTTACACAAATTTATCAGAAGAGGCAAAATAAGAACAGTTTTTTAAATACACGTAATATTTTCCAGTAGGTCATATTTGCAAAAATAGCGGCTGATATTATGGAATTATTTTTTCCCGTCCTTAAGGCAATAATTGATTCCAATAATTTTATTTTTTTTCAGGGATATAGTTACGCGCTTGTGTGTGTATGGGTGAATGGGTAAGTGAATACGTGCGTACAGGAAGCTGCGGTATCTTTCTTATATAATAAAATAATTCCAAGATCTGTGATCATTATATTTGATATCAAAATTAGAAATAATTATTAACATAAGCGTTTTAATATTTGTAAAATTCAATACTTTTATTTACTTACATCTAGCACGAGAAATATGGCAATGAATGTATATTTATTCATAGAAAATACACACTTAATGCGAATAATCAATAACTGAATTTCACAACCAGATTGTCATTATTTAATGCTAAATGTATTTATTTAGCCTGATCAAAGAACAAAAATTAGTAAAATGAATATCTCACGACTTAAGACTATGTGCTTCATTTAATATATCAACATTTAGAAAAACATTAAAACACTTTGCTGTCAACATGATTGTATACGTGTTACTCGATTTGAAAGTCAACTTTTCTTGTACATTTATGTAATATTTCTCCATCTTTAAGATAACCACTGATCACAGATCGTTTTTCAGGTTTTACTGCATGTATTTTTCATAAACAGTATCGTTGTATGATATGAGCATGACTGGTTCTTGAGTTAGATGTTTACTAATTTTTCTTACATATATATTTTAAATTCTAACATATATTTAGACAGGCATCAGAACCATCATCAATATCTTTTGCACAAAAAGTATAGTTATGGAAGAAAGGTAGAAAATTCAGATAAATACACGAATATTGTCAATTTTCCAGTTATTGTCAGGTCTGCATGTTAATCTGTGTTGCACAAACACTTCAATTTTGTAATATGTTTACTCATCACAACAAATATGCGCCTATGACGATTACTGCCATACTTTGTATATCTTTGAGGGTACCCATCTCTTATCCGCAACTACTCCAATACCACTGAATAAAATTTAATGAGACTTTCACAGAATCTTTACTACTTAGTGTTTTTATGCATCTCCTATTTTACATTTCGATCGGACAGATGTTTGGGGTTTCTCATGGCAAAAACTGGACACTTCCATTCTGTCTATATTATTGGGGGTACCCATCTCTCATGCGCGACTTCTGCCATACCACTGAATAAAATTAAATTAGATATTCACAAAATTTTTATTACATAGTGCCATTGTGCACCTCCTATTTTACATTTGGCTAGAATAGATATTTTGGGTTTCCCATAGTAAAAAAATACACTTGTCAATAAACTCATATGAGAGCATGGGGCATCATTTTGTAAGTTCAGTGCTGTAAAAAAAGTATGTGTAAGAAGATTTTCTTACAGCATCTTGTATGACATAAAAACAAGGTACTATTATTCTTTAAACTTTTATTCTCAGTTTAATTATTTCATCTGTATTATATAAATAATGGCGATAAATTCAACAAAATTGATCAATGAAATAAAAACAATACGCATACGCATGCGTAGATAATACATGTACCGGTGTTACCACAAGGCATTAATGTTAAGAATTTTTATTTAAGTTTAATAACAATTATTCAAAGTATAACTTAAGAAATAGTGGTAAATAATTTGGCATCCATAAATAAGAATGTAGTGCATCTCTCTCTCTCTCTCTCTCTCTCTCTCTCTCTCTCTCTCTCTCTCTCTCTCTTTTAATACGTGCAATCTAATTCTCCGTAGGTCTTATCATTAGCGGTACAGCATGTTTGGGTGTTGCAAATGTGCGGTATTTATACTCCATAACTGGATTTGTTCCTGACGGAAGAGAAACTTCCAAACGCTGGAAAATCTGAAAGACAATTGAAGAAGATATCATTAAGCTTTCAATAAAATGATATTTTCCAATTAAATACAACAAACATTGCCCAAGTATCATCAGTTTACAAATAAAATGTTAGTAATGTCAGTTGTCATTATCATATAATAAAATAATTCTGAATATTTCACTTTTCTAATAATCGTACGTCTTTGAAGCATAAAAATTTCTCTGTTAAATGTGATAAAAAAAAAAATCTGGCACAATACCTTTGCAGTGAGTACATGAATCTCAGTTTCTGCAAATCGTTGTCCGATACAACTTCTTGGACCAAATCCGAACGGAAGGATGGCAAACGGATTGGAGTTTTTGTATTCCTCTGTGAGAGTACTGTCACCTCTGACAAATCTTTCCGGAAGAAATATCTCAGGACTTTTGAAAAACCTGGGGTCCTCGCACATCTCTTGTAAACAAACAACAATCTCTGTCTACAAAACATGAAAAAAGATGGTTTTAACGATAAAGAAATTATGGTATACTCTTGTATTTTTTTAAGTTAAAATGTAAGATGTAGACTGGAATAGTCACTTTCGCCCGACTGTATCTGATTTTTATTGGGGCCTTGTGTGCCAGCGGGCACAAAGAAGATAGGTGAGGTGAGTTTACCTAATTTTTGTAAATAATTCTCATGTTGGAATCCCGTTGCTGTGGAGTCTGTCAACATTTGATGCATAAATATTATCGCTGACTTTGTTTATTTTATTGTAAGAGACAATTGATGGAGAAGCTTCTTCACTTCGATCAGAAATGTTGACACCTTTAGCATTACAGCTTATAATTTATAATTTTCTTATATCATTTCACTTCATGTATGATTTAAGAGGATTAAACTTGAATTGTTTTAAAATATCCTCCATACCCGATGCTAATGCCCTCGAGGGACTACTTTATGTGAGCATTCTGAATAAAGTTTCCCACGATTTGTCTAGATATTTATTGTAACTGTTCCTGATCAAACATATCTCTTTATATACTAGAGATGTAGAAAATATGGGACTAAATGAAGATGATTCTTTATTGGCAACCGCACTGAATTTTGCCAGCCCAAGAAGTGTATTGTATCCTATACTTTTCCTTCCAGTCATACTAAAAGATCAGTAAATATTACCCCAGCGGGAATGTGATATCCACCAACAACCACGTCTTTCTCAAAACACCGATACATCCCCGGTGAGGTTGGTACATAGATCCTTAAAAATGTCATGTAGATATTACAGTAGAAGTACTGTATATATTAATACATATATCTTCATTCTTACAATAGTATGAATTCAACAGTGCACAGAGAAGAAAATACTTACAATGAAAAGCATATATTTATTAGTTTCAGGTAGTTTTGTAAAACAAATCTTTTAAAAAGAGGGAGTGATGTGGTCCGTCGATTTTCATAAAAGGGTAGAAGTAAGTTTCATAGTAAACAGAAAAGCTAAAAAAAAAATCATAACGTTTGTGCTACTTTAAATGAGGTGATACTTAAATTCCGTCAATTTGCAATGCTTTAAACTCGAGATGCAGGATTTAGTAATTTCCCAAACACATGCATGCATTACTTTTCATTAGAATTAGTGGAGATGGAAGGATTATATCCGTTGAAACATTATGTAAAAATATAAATATTTATTCTTATAACTCATAACAAACTAGGGTGTTCTTTAGAGGAAAAGCGTTAATATTTGCTCAAACAGAAGGTAAAATTCACACTTTAGATAAATGATACAATTTTAATGGTATAATGAATATTTTCATTCCTTTATCGACTATATAAGCAGTAATCAGAAAATCAGTTACATTCAAGAAATTATTTTGTTTATTTTGATTTTATATAAGATAATGAGTTCGTGGGTACCTTTCGTCCACGAATTTACATCCTCCACGAATTAATATACTAGGGTTTCAAAATCATATCTCTTTTGTAGATATGAGTGAATACACGAAATAAAGACCTCAAGAACCTGTAAAATTTCAGCAATCCACGATAATTGGCCCCTATGAATTTTGACGATTCCACAATATGTTAAAAACGGTGTCACAGTCCCTATACATATAATGTCCATCATCTGAAGGTAAGTTTTGAATATTTTATGCGTAAGGTTACCTCATGGCTTCTCTGACGCAGGCCTTCAGGTACGACATTTTTGCCAGTGTATCTTTTGTGATATCATTTTGACCACACACAGATATAATCTCATTATAAAGCTTTTCTTGTTTGTCAGGATTCTTTGCCAGTTCAAATAAGAGAAATGTTAAAGTATTTGAAGTCTGAAAAAAAAGATGTGTAATTTTCTTTGAAATATATATCCCCTTAGGATATATTTTTCTACTGATGTAAAGTGAAAATATTAATTCCAACTATATTTAATTACAAAAATCGTCCAATCACTTTCAGAAACAGAACATACATGTGCAATGTATGAGTTTAACGGTAATACATATTGTAACTAAAACAAAATTGGACGGCCAATTGTTTTAATTATTATACAAGCAACATTAATTAAATTAAAAAATATCTTTACTTAATATAAAAGATGATATTTTGATTTACTTACTGATTCGACACCACCAATGAACAGATCCAGAAGTGTTCTATCTACACTTCTAAGCGTCATCTTAGGGTGACACAGTAACGAGTACAACAAATTCGGTTCTTGGAGATATTCCTTCAGCTTTCCGTCCCGTTCTGCAGTTTCTAGTTTTTTCAAGGCACTTTTGATTTCGGTTTGACAAATGCTTAAAAAGGTAATGATATTTTATCAGTTTTATTATACAAAGTTGTTTCAAAGGGTTGATAAGCCTCATCAATTATATGTAAAAGTATAAAATATTTTCTTAATTGCCGTAAAATAATATTTCACTTTCAAGGTACACTTAAGTCTTTTTTTTTTTGGTGAATATGATGTAACTTCCAAGCATTTTCCTTGTACTTATCTTAATCAGAAAAAAAATGAATATTAAGGGCAAAAACTCGATGTGTAACAATAAAAAATAAAATACACTGTAGTGCATGATGAATTTTATTCTAATGTCATTGCTTTGTGTGTCGTAGGAAACCAAACAATTCTAATTAAAACAATTCTTTAGCAGATAAGGCAATTAGTATACAGTGAGTATAAGCTTAATATTTCTTAAAATTTTTACTGTCCGAAATTATCATTTAGAATGTCATTATATATAATTATGTACTTGTAATTTTTCCTTTCTAGTTAATCGTAAAACACGAAAGTTTAAAACTCTGTTCTGCATAGGGAAAAGTTTGAAGCGCCGGACAATTACATCACCTGGTACATGTGAAACACAGTCATTACTTATAATTTATGTATGTAAATATACAATTCCCATTTTTAATAAACCATTTTCTTACCTATGAATATGGTCTGCTCCTTTCTTAAATTTCCTGTATAGTGGTGTGTTAAAGAAACGATAAGGTTTTATACCAATACTCTTCAAATCCCGGTCTATGGCGTCAAACAAGTCTTCCAAAAGAGTAATGTCAATCACAGGTTTGTCATGAAGACATCCAAGACGTCTATTGAAGCAAAGCATGCCTACGCCTATAAATGATGATTTCAGTATATTATTTTATGTTATTAAGAAATTTTCGATGTCTGTATCGAAATGAAATATGGAGATAACGAACAGTAATCAAGCTCAATCGTCCATTGAAATAATACAAATGAATGCAGAACAAACATGGACCTCTAAAAACATCAGAAGTGAGAACGTTTGCCATGAAAACAAAACCAAAATAATTATTGTTCATGTGAATTTCATTTCATCTAAAAGATGTGAAGCAGACACGAATACTCTCAGTAGCATAGTTGACAAGTGTAGGCCGGAGATCATCTATTTTTCCGCCATGTTTATATTTCTCTACGAAATCCTCTGCCACTCTAGACAAGATTCCAACATATGCAGACACAGCGACTGGTCTTAGTATCAATTCCTGCGATGGTTTCCGAAGCTTGGCCCACTCTTCGCCATTCCTAAGATAAATATATAGACAAAAACTAGAAATTCAAAGAATAATTATTATTGTGTAGTAAAGGTTGCCCCTTAATCCTTACGCTTATACATAATTTGGAAGTAAGTACATTCAAAGAGTTAGATTTGACTGATAGTATCAATCAAGATTAATCAGATGAGTGTAGAGAATTTTGAAACAAAAAAGTTTGTAATGCTGGTATATTCCTGTTATTCTTTACGAAAACCATAAAATCATGATTAAAGGGCTATCTGGTGGGCCATCGTTGTAAAATTTTAACATTTTTTGTAGTCAACGCATTTAAGATTTCTTTTCAAACTGCAATTTCCCGTAAATTGTCGAGAAATAACTAGTTGTGATCTTGAAAAAAAAACAGTCAAGAATTTGTAAGTATTGTGTTTGATTTTTATATTTACAAAAATCGTCTAAAGATTAGTTTATAAAACGTCAGAGCATTATCTTCTGATCATCAAAATATCTCCGAGAATTATCTCAGAATACTTATTTAGCACGGGGATGAAGATTAATTTCTACATAATAGAGAGTATTCGCCACAGAACAAAAAAAAACTCCGAATATGAACAGTTCACCCTTTTGTGAAAAGGTTTACTACACGGAAGAAATACTATATACTAGTAGTAAATCTAGTGAATCTTCGAGGGGGAGGGGAGTTACTTTTCCATGAGGGACGTTTTTACTGTACATCATCGACCTGAGAGCACAGATTAAGTTGCATTAGGTATAACACCGCTTATTCAAGAAATATATCCTGATCCCGGGTCGTTTTCATCATGAAAATCACTGAAAATAATTCCTTAATGTAATTTTTCTTCAACTTGATACATATAGCTATACATAGTTAACAATACATATAACTGTATTTTAAAAATTTCATTTTCATTGTCCAACTCTGACTTTATAATTGAGAGATCAAATCGACTAATTACAGTAGCTACACTTTCTGATGTATAGAAAATCAAACAGAGAAAATAATGAATGAGAATTAAATTGTATATATCATTATAAAGGTATAGTACTTATTTTACAAGTATGGTTATTTGAAAAACATTGTCAAATTTAAACATTCGCTATAATTTACACTTAATTAAATGGTTTCCATATTAAAGTACTTTTTTCCCTTTTTTGACAGAAATGATCTTAGAAACTCAACCTTAGAAGAATATACAGGGGATGAATCTATTTTTTGTTCACTGAAGTAATTAATGTTAAATACTTAAATACATGCAATTTGTTTACATCCATAAATTCATCTTCATCACTTCTAGGGTTGAAGCCGCTTATCCGATGAAACGAGAATCGTGAAATATAGACTGAAATATTAACATACTTACAACGTTGCCAAACTTTGGCTGAGATTTTCTTTCTCATTATAAATCCTAAGGACATCAATGGGCGGACGGAAAGGATTCTTTATCTGTATTTCTAGGACCTCTTTAGCGAGATCTGGATGAAAAAGGAACACTCCCCATTTATTTGTAGTAGTCCTTATTCTCGCAATATCACCGTATCTTTTATGGATTGCAGTCATAAACTTCTTCAAATCGACCGGATATTCTAAGCAACCTGGTATACAAGCGATTCACAGTCAAACAGTCAATAAAAGAAGATTTTTTTTTTCTTGCAATTTGTGTCTTCACCTTGCAAAAAATAAAATGTCATTGTCTCAATTGTTGTATATGGTCTATTATTTGTTTTTAATCTATCATTTCTTAATCATAACTGATTATAAGAAGAGGATGAAGAAGAACAGCTTTACATACCAAGAGATTTTAAGAGGAACGTGTTACCGATGTAATATGGTATTGCAAATTTCCCAGTGGCTCCTGGAATTTCTTTAAAAGGTTTTACATCCGGGGATTCGCGGAGGAAGGCAGCTGCTGCATTCGAGGAATACTGCCGCAAATGTAAATATCCAGGAAACCTGTCGGTGGAAAGTATTTTTTATATCTAGAAATTAAGGTAAGGTGATGTATAATTGTCATACGCGGGTATGTTAAGGCTACACCCAGAGATATCCTACATGCCTTAACAATATGGCGTCATAGTAAGCTGTATGACGTGAACTTTAAAAATAATGATTTCTTAATATCTATATTTAAAGTTTAATTTCAGGTCAAAGAAATGAATGGAATCATTCAAAACAAAATATATACTAAATCTTGTCGTTTTGGGGTGGTATAAATAGCTAAGTATTTAGCACGGGGGTGAAATACCAAACCCATGACGTCATAACTATTGATCAAATATTTGCCGAGTGAAGTTAAACGTGACGAGAATTCATGTAAACAAATAGAAGAAATGGGAGTTTTTAAAGTATATACCGTGAATGTTATGTGTGATTCATAAGGAATTAAAGATTAAGAATCAGGTACGCTGATATATTCTTATCATGTTTTCTTATAATGAACACAGGCTGTGCTTTGAAATCCCGATCAGCCTTTCCTCTGTCATTCTATAACAACAAAGATGCAAAAGTTCAACACTACGCCGCATACTTTGAAACAAATTTTTTGTTTGTATCCAAAGCTTGTATTCTTTAGTACTTGGAAAGTGCTGCTAGAATCGTGTGGTTAACATGAATTGATAACAATTCCTTGATCGTATGTATAAAATGTAAAAATTTTGGTAAGGTTTCATGTGAACCTTTGGAATATTTTTTTCTGTGTCTGGAAAGTAGGATTCTAGCAGCACTTTTCATGGCACAGTGATGTTTTTATATAATTATTTTCAATAAAACAAATGAATTAGCTCCGGGGTAGTGTTGAACTTTTCACTTTTTCATTAAGGCAATTTTTCTATTTATAGACGTCACGTGATGACGTCGTAGTGGAGTGCTTCTTTTAGCCTAAGACTCAATGACGTCTATACAAGGGATAATAATAGTGAATGTTTTATCTATGACTTTTCCGATTTATCAATGTTACATTTTACGAAAAAAAGTCTAAATTCGCCGAAATATGATCTGGGTACTGCCTTAACATGATACCTGCGTAATCTTTTAATTCGAATTGTTGTAATCAAGCATTTATAAATTTGTAAATTACTAAAGTTCAGTTGATGAAAGATCTTTTAAAAAATATGCGTTGATTTAAATCTTAATTTCACTTTTTACAATATACATGTACTAGAAACAGAAAATACACCAACGAAAATATTTTTTGATAATTGTGTACAAATATATATAATGCTGATTTGAAAAATATTATCAGTATACACAATATTCTCTTACCTTCTATACAGAGCCTTCATATCTAAATATTTTCCCCTAAATTTAAGAAACGTAAAATGAAAAGAAAATCAATTAATAACATAACTGTTTTTCACACACTCGATATTTTGTTAAACAGATATATATATATATATATATATATATATATATATATATATATATATATATATATATATATATATATATATATATATATATATATGACATGCACCATGCACTCATTATCATATTATAATTAATTAATTAATTAATTAATACAATATATACTGTAGTTATAAGGATAATTAAAGTCTTAGTCAGACCGATCTTCCTTACAGTCATTGAAAATTAATTGCTTTTAACTGGCATAATATAATCTAACAATCTATCAAGTATGTTACTTTGTTCCCAAAAGTTAACTCCTCAAAAATATTTCATGTACTACTTTTCAACCACTAATGCGTTTCCATATTTAACAATAAATGATATTGAGGGGGTTTAACCCTTTCAATACCATTTACCTGAAATGGTGACGGAATTATTTTGCTGTTATTTAAAGAGCTTACCTGTAAAATAAATCATAACTACATGTAAAAGCCTATTCGATCCCTCCTCGAAACACCTCCAATTGTTCCTCTTCACAAAACAAATATATAAAATTCATATCTATTCAAACTGCTTTGGGTCTAGGTCAATCATCGGAGTTTACATCTTTTTAAACCGTACGGTAAAATGGTTTTGTCAAAATTGTATGAATGGGACAATCTGTCGAGCAAAACCCAGCACAACAGTCATGTTGGGTTACTTTGGGAGAATAAACATTTGATTTGTAATGTACATGTAACACAGGTTGAAAGTGGGTTTGTAAAACATAAGCTTGTTATAATAATAATGATAATAATGTAAAATCTTTAAAAAATCATAATCAGTGTCAAAGACACAGATCATTATACATGAAGGATACTTTTCTATATTTACATTTGCAAATGTTTATATAACACTATTGAAAGCATGCGTATCTATATCCGCATAAACACGGGTTTCTCTCGTCATAAATGTTCGACGTAATTTCTCAGTGACGTCATAAAGGGTCGACGTGCAATCAATAGATCAAACTCGTGCCGTTGAGTTTGAAAAATAAAACATTTCACGCGTTAAAGATTATAATCAGGCAAATATAAAATATGAATAAGTAACAAATGTAAATATAAGTAATGAGGTTTAATTTTTAAACATCTATCGGGATATAATTACGGGTTGGTCAAGATCAAATTTACCATAAAGCCCTTCTTTATGGAATTTGATCTCGTGACCAACCCGTATTTATATCTCATTAGATGTTTAAAAATGATACCTTATTTCTTAAATAAATTAAATTACTATTTTTTTTACTATTATTTCTTATTAGAAGGAAAATTTACAAAAAAAAATTAATAAAAAATCAAACGAAAACAAAAAAATGGCATTTTACCAGAAAAAAATTATTTTAACTCTTCCTCTTATACTTTTACAAGTGTCTTTAAAAACCTTTTTTAAAGAGAAACATCCTTAGTAATTTAATGATTTATCATTTACTTAAATGATTGCAAATGAAGGACTTGTGTCTTTTTCCCCATAAATCAGTAGGTACTCTTTCGGTAGTGGGTAGGTAACTGGGTGGGGTGAAAAACTAATAACGTCCCCAACAAAAAATATTATAGTTAACTATAGTTAACTATAGTTTACTATAGTTAACTATAGTAAATCAAAGTGTCAAAGTTATCACTATAGTAAATCAAATTTTTCAAAGTGATCACTATAGTGTCATAGTGATCACTATAGTAAATCAAAGTTATCAAAGTGATCACTATAGTGACATAGTAATCACTATAGTGAATCAAAGTTTTCAAAGTTATCACTATAGTAGATCAAAGTTTTCACCATAGTAAATCAAAGTTTATAGTGATCACTGTAGTAAATCAAAGTATTCATAGTTATCACTATAGTAAATCAAAGTGTCAAAGTTATCACTATAGTAAATCAAAGTGTCAAAGTTATCACTACAGTACATCAAAGTTTTCATAGTGTCAAAGTTATCACTATAACTATAGTTAACTATAGTAATTTTTTTGTTAGGGATATGCTGATTTTCAGATTATTTTCAGATTCATAGTGTTTGATGAATTAAATTTATTTATTTTTCGACGTTAAGAGACTTTCTTTATGTTGTTAAAAATGTAAAAGATTAATAAACTCAAAATCAATATCGAAGACGATATTTAATTTTTGAAGAAATGCAATGATCAGCAAGTACTATTGTCTGACAAATATAGTCTGTCATCTACAAGAGTTGAATCCAATGGCCCTAGTATACTGCAATGAAATTACAGAGGCATTTTTTTATGAAGCGAAGATTCGGGGGCATATAGTTTTTGCCCTGTCCGTCCATTTGCCTAGCTGTCTGTCTGTCTGTCTGTCTGTCTGTCTGTTTGTCCGCAAAAAACTTAAACATTGCCCATAACTTTTGATTGGTTGGAGCTATGGCTTTTATATTTCACATGTGTATTTCTTGTGACAAGACCTTTCCTTGGGTACCATCACATTTGACCTTTGGACCTTGACCTTGGAGTTTGACCCCCTTTTGCAAAATTTTTTGAATCTTTAAACTTGGCCATAACTTTTGAACACTTGGAGCTTGGGCTTTCAAACTTCAAAAGTGTATTCCTTTTGAGAAAGCCTTTCTTTGGATACCAACATCTTTGACCCTTTGACCTTGAACTTGGAGTTTGACCTACTGTTGAAAAAACTTTAACCTTGGCCATAACTTTTGAACAGTTTGAGCTAGGTCTTTCATACTTTGCATGTGTACTCCTTATGACAAGACCTTTCTTTGCATACCAACAACTTTGACGTTTTGACCTTGACCTCGAAGTTTGACCTACTTCAAATTTGAAAAATTTTAACCTTGGCTATAATTTTTGAACAGTTAGTGCTACGGTTTTCATACATCACATATGCATTCCTTGTGAGAAGACTTTTCTTTAGATACCAACAACTTTGACCTTTTGACCTTGGAGTTTGACCTATTTTTGAAAAACTTTCACCTTGGCCATAACTTTTGAACACTTGGAGTTACGGCTTTCATACTTCACATATACATTTTCTGTGACAAGACCTTCCTTTAGATACCAACAACTCTGACTCTTTGACTTTGACCTTAAAGTTTGACCTACTTTTGAAAAACTTTAACCTTGGCCATAACTTTTGAACAATTGATATTAGGGCTTTTATACTTCACATGTATATTCCTTGTGACAAGACCTTCCTTGGAAAACCAACAATTTTGGCATTGACCTTGGAGTTTGACCTGCTTTTAAAAATTTTTAACATTGGCCATAACATTTGAACGTTTGGTTCTAGGGATTTCACATTTCACCATCATGCGTATCACTTGTTACAAGAACTTCCCTTGGGCACCATTCGACCTTGACCTTGCCGTTTTACTTACTTTGAAAAATTTTTAACCTTCTCCATAATTTTTCAACGGTTTGTACTAGGGCTTTCATATTTCACAGATATATTCCTTGAGACAAGATCTTTCTTTGGGTACCAACATTTTTGTTTTCTTGACCTGGACTTGGATTTAAGAAACTTTAACCTTCGCCATAAGCTGCATACGGGGGCATCAGTGTTTCAAAAACACATCTTGTTATTCATTAATTTTTAATATATTTTTTAAATTTTTTAATAAATTAATTATTTTTTTTTAAATTAATAGTTGATTGATTATATAATGTATTACGTTATATCAAGCATCTTTCACCGAATTGAGGAATAGCGTACCCCCTCTCTGTATACTACTACAATGTAGGTATCCTCTTTTAGTCCCAAGGTTAAACATTCCAAACATTTCTTTTAATTCATTTTATATTTTAGAAATCATAATACAGTTCGGTAAAGATTTGTGAACACGCCAACAAACTTACTACTACAACAGTGACTGGTTTAGATGTATTTTAGTATGAGTCTGAAAAAAAGAAAAGAAAATATGTGTAACACGAAAAATTGAATGTACGAAGATTATAGTTCCATTGTTATGTCTCCCATTCTAATTAATTTCCAGAAATGTAACTGATTAACAATCTGATTATAAATATTTCAATGGACGGGCCCAAATTAAGGTCCCTCGCCTTCATGTTCATACCACGCATGGATAAATAATCGCCTACTTTATTCCATATCGTCCTTTATGTATCTCTCTCTCTCTCTCTCTCTCTCTCTCTAACACACATGCCCACGCACACATAAACACATACACAAGTTTTTAAATTTAATTCTCCCTCGGTTTAATTAAAAGCGGTACTGGATTTTTGGGTGTAGCAAATGTGCGGTATTTATACTCCATAACTGGATCGGTTCCAGGTGGAAGAGAAGCTTCTAATTGTTGGAAAAACTAAAAAGAAAATGATAAGGATATAAAAATAATGTCTATAACTCTTGGCGGTTTGTAAGTGTAAACTTTATTCATGTACTTTTTATAATTATTATAAGATTTATGTAAAAAGGAGTCACAACATACAGTTTGTAGTAAAAAGATAAAGTACATGTACATCATGCATATGTATCATCATTCTAAACAAAATCTTTCACCAATGAAACCTTTAAGACATAACGTAACTTTAAACTCTTCATTTTTGTGGTCTCAAATCCAGAAAAACAAGATAAAATTTTAAAAAGAATACCTTTGCAGTGATAACATGCATTTCAGTTTCTGCAAATCGCTTTCCAATGCAGCTTCTTGGGCCGACACCAAACGGAATTGTTACAAACGGATTGGTGTTTTTGTATTCCTCCGTCAATGTATTGTCGTCTCTGACAAACCTTTCCGGAAGAAACGAATCTGGACTTTTGAACAAGCGTGGATTGTGACACATATGTTGTAAACACGGTACAATATCTGTCTGCCGTGCAAAAGAAATACATAGTTTTCAGAATTTTCAAATGACTATATACCACACAATTACGACTAATTTGATTTTTTAGTTTGCAAACCTTGCTTTTTAGGTCTTTCAGAAATGCTAAGAATCTCACCCCTGCAGGGACATGATATCCTCCAATAACTATGTCTTTATCAAAACACCGAAAGGTCCCTGGTGTTGTCGGGACATAGATCCTTAAAAAAATGAAAGTATGTGTTAATGTGTAAGACAACATTGAGAAATTAATGACCATGAAATGTTATATATTGAATACAGTTTTTCTGCTTTTACATATAAATAATACTACAAGAATATAATAATCTATATGGAAAAAATTTTATTTTTCGGGGGTAATAAACCATCGAATATAGTTTTTTTTTTCTTTAAAAGCAAAAAGAAAAATCAACACACAGCACCATTAGTATGACGCTTATGGACTAAGAAGTATATTTGATTCACGGCCCTCAATTTTGACTGAATTGAGTTATTGATTATTTTAAAAATAATATAGAGAGAAAATACATTATAACTGATAACATTGTCCACTTTTTCTTTGGCTTCTGTAAACTTTAAGATTGTGTTATATACTCTAAAAATAGAAACGTTTAAAGAGGTTCATATTCTTATACAATAATCAGGATGAATCAAGTAGGAATTGATTGATTGATTAATTAATTGTATGTTGCTTTACGTCCCATTCGAGAATTTTTCACTGATACAATGTATGGAGACGTCACTATATACCGGTGAAGGGCTTCAAATTTTGACTTTTACTCGGCACTTGGGGCCATTGAGCAGTGAGGGATCTTTATCGTGCCAAAGCCTGCCGTGACATGGGGCCTCGGTTTTTAAGTTCTCATCCGAAGGACCCGCAACTTTAACTTCAAAGTGCCGAGCGCATGGCGAAGGAACAATTGTTACCCATTTTTATCGACTTAGGTCAGTCGCGGCCGAGATTCGAACTCACGACCTCCCGATCACGGAGCGAGCGGTCTTCCAACTGAGCTACCGTGAACGGTAAGTCTGAATGAAAATGAGCGAATAAAATAATCGAGAAAATACAGGTCAAATTAGAAATTAAAAAATATTGATGAAAGACAAGCCAGCGATATTCCTTGTTCAGAATAATTAAAAAAAAAATGAAGAAAAAATCGCGTCCAAAATGATGTAAGCCATATCCTTGGAAAATATATAAGCGGGGTTAAACCGGATCCCATAGGCTTACATCAGGTTACGCGTGTGCCAGAATGCTTTAGAAGGTTCGCCCCTGGGACAACTTGCGTTTAGGACAATTTGCCATCTTCGAGATAGAACGCACCAATCATTAGCAAGCCTGGTTTAAAATCTGTACACCGTATTTATTTATAAATAAGAGTATCCAAGATACGAATCTACTCTTTTATGCATCATATGTAAAAAAACATATTTTATTAAAGTTTTGTATATGGATTGTTAAATTAAGTACGAGCTTTCATGGTGCAAGCATTTACCGACAAAACGTCAGAGATACTCAAGCTGTAGTCAACTAAGAACTGTCTTAAATAATTATCCTAAAATAAGAATTTACTTGTATAACTATTTACTAAATGACATCGGAACATTTGATATACAGCAATCCAAATCATGTAGCAAGGTTTTTCAAATTTTCAAAGTGTAAAGGGGGGGGGGGGGGCTCGTGACTACGAGTCGATATGTGCTGCGTGTGTATCTTTCCGATGATAGAATCTTCTATACAAATCCCAACTAAGTCCCAGCCTCAAAGGTTATCCAAGATAGCCCGACATTTTTAAACCAAAAAAATCATAAACCTATCAGGGAAAGAATTTAACATTAATTTTGTGCTATTAAACTACTATCACTCAAAGTAGGCAGACCATTGTAGAAAATGTTATCGATGGGTTAACCTGTATCACCTTTCAAAGTAACCAATGAACTCGTCCAAGGATGCATTGACGGGCCGTTGTAAAACTTACGTACCAGAGAAAAGTGCGAAATCTCTGTAAAGAAACTGTTGCGGCTGCAGAACATCACATATTCCTTCGTTAAAAAATAGAATCCCACATCTAACACTTAATATATTTTGATATACAGACATTTTCAAAAATAAAAATCAGTTTTGTTACCACAAATGTTTTTATCTACAAAAAATCTATGGTTACACTTTAAAAAGACATATTTCATTGGCATCAGTTTTCTGCATCAAGCTGGCGCTCGAAGGATGGATTTTCAGTTGGGGGGACCGAGGACCTGACATATAGGTTACCCCATATCCAAGATATTCGACTTTTAACATGTTTAAGTTACTCGAATTTGTATTGTGCTCAGATGATTTTTAAGAAAAAATACTACCCTTATTATGAATCTGGTGTATAGATCTTCATGTCTATAGCAAGTACTGTCATCAGTCTAAGCGTCAGTAGCAAACAGTGCAGAAACCTGTGCTTGCAAGACCAAATAGCCTAGGTTTACACATGTGCGATGAGATTGTCAATCGCATTTCCTCAGAACCTTTCCGGCGAGCTCGAAAAAACACGTTGTTCAAAGAATAACCTAAATATGTAGCGTGAAACCTTATAATGTAATTAAAAATAGCAGAGGCGGCTGAATTCCCCCAGTTTACTTTCTGAGGACCTGGCAGGTTCAAAATATACAAATATATGATCAAGCAATATATACAGATAAATGTTTAGACTACTTGTCTTTAATCAATTAGGTACAATAAATCAAAGTGACGCTGACTCCTAAGCGATCGGCTCTTACAGCTCGGCTCTTCTGGTTACTAGCTCTTACAGCACGGCTCTTATGGTTACTGGCTCTTACAGCTCAGCTCTTATGGTTACTGGCTCTTACAGCTCAGCTCTTATGATAACCGGCTCTTACAGCTCGGCTCTTACTGGCTCCCTCGGTAGCTTTCTTGGTAATAAATAATATTTAAAGCCAGGAAAGACTTGTTCAGTCACGTCTTACGCTTTAAATATTTATTTATTATCATTAACTAAAAGTTACCTCTGATCATTAATGGTCCGCCGCTTGTGTTGCCACTTCAGCATCAACTTCGCAATTTACACAGCTCTGCCGCTTCACTTGTATTTATACCCTATGTGGCCAACAACGCCATCTAGCGGAAACATGACTAAAATACCGCTTGTACCGGAATAACTTTTCCCGGATTGTTTCAAATATATATTTGCGTGAAAAAAAAAACCAAGGAGGCAGCTAGTGTAGAAATATGAATACTTCTTATTTACATTTCTTTGGAAAAACTTGATTTTTTAAAAATCATTTTACGCTAATTTTGCTTTCTTTCACTTATTACATACACATCATTATTCTTAACATTTTTTGGTAATGTTGTATCTGCTGATCATGAATGGAACTAATTTTTCAGAGCAATTCTGTGAAGAGTACCTGACTTTAATATTTATATCTTGAATAGATAGTATGCACTGATCGAATATATTACACATGTAAAAAGGTTATCCGGGGTTTCTTGAGAAGGGTACAACCGTAAATGAGCTTAGATTGAATACTTGATACCCCATTCCTTGGTCCTACAGATCTGGCATCATGTGTAATCTTTAAAAGAGATGTCTTCTCTTTCGCGGAGAACATCACTGGTAAAAACTGGACAATATTTCAAAATCTGAACACGAGCAAAACAATTTTACAAATGTGGGTGAATCTCCCGACTAAGAGGTCAAGGCTACATACAGTAAAAACTATGGATACCTTGATTAGGACGTGCTTCTTTCATTTACTATTACAGTTTTAGCATAAGTCAAATTATAATTAAAAATATAAATGTTTCAAAATGGAAATTTTTTTTTTGTAAAACGTATTTAATTAAAACCCCAGAACTTCTTTTAAATTTCTATTAGAAACACAGAGCTATGGTTCACGTATTGCAGTCCTTTTTTAAAGGACAGCAACTTGTTGATAGTTTTAGCCATATGTATAAAGCTACCTCATTGTTTCTCGCATGCAAGCCTTAAGGTATGGCATTTTTGCAAGTGCTTCCTTTGTAATATCATCTCGACCACAAACAGAAATTATTTCCTGATGAAGTTTGTCTTGTTTGTCGGGATTCTTTGCCAACTCAAACCACAGAAACGATAAAGTGTTTGATGTCTAAAAAATAATATTTTTTCAAAGAAATATTTTTTTTCCATAAATGTATTGATGCATTGATACGGATTAAGTAATTTGTGTGTAGCCCAAAGGATAATTTAAATAAATTAAGAATCAAATATAAATATGTATACAAATGTATACTCCATGTATACAAATCAAATCGTTTATCTATGATGCTTAATTTTTTCAAATGCTGCATTAGTTTTATTATTTAAAAAAATGTACATTTTCTTTAATCATTAACTTACTGACTCCACGCCAGCAATAAACAGATCTAATATCAATCTGTCAACATTATCAGGTGTCATCCGTGGGTGACTCAATAAAGAATACAACAAATTAGGATCTTGTAGGTACTCCTCCAGTCTTCCTTCCTGTTTAGCTGCTTCTAATTTCGTCAAGGCTCCTTTTATCTCTTTCTGGCATATACTGAAGATAGAAGGGTACTTCGTAATCCATTTAATAAGGAACAATGGTTAGGTAATGGCAATCAACACAAATGATACTTATAATTAAAATGTAGATAAAAATATCCATAGATACATATTCATGGAAAAAATATGCACCTGCGTAACAGATATCAGCAAATTTGTATCTTTCTGAGAATTGCTGGAATTTTTTAAGTGCCAAATTTATATGTGCAAGATAAACAATTGTTCATATGATGTTACTAATCCGAATTATATTCACCGAATTTAAATCTGCTTTTCATAATTATTGTAAAAACTCAGTTATTAAGTTTCTGAGTTCGAGATTGACTAAAAAACATAGCAATGGTTCTCTTCGTATTCTGTAGATCGTGATTGTTTTGTTTTTGTTTTTGTTTTTGTTTTTTTTTTTTTTTTTGTGTGTGTGTGTGTTTTTGTTTTGTTTTGTTTGTTTGTTTGTTTTTTTTTTTGGTGAATATAAAACTTAAAGGTATTTACTATTCTATCGAAAGACACTTGCCGTCTGTGAAAGAACTTTACGCAATTTCTTATTAGATCTTAAAAGCCAATGGCAAGTGTCAAGCTTAATTAACATAAATTATTCATCAAATTAGCTTGAATTCATTCCATTGTACAAGGAATTGTAAATCGTGAAATTTTGATATTGGTAAGTAACTCTCGCCGGAAAGTAGAACGACAACTTCTTACCTATGTATTTGGTCTGCTGCGCTTTTAAATTTTTTGTACAATGGCGTGTTGAAGAATCGATAGAGTTTTAAACCAAAGCTCTTGAAATCTCGATCTATGGCGTCAAACATGTCTTCCAAAAGGTTTATGTCAATCACAGATCTGTCATCAAGGCATCCAAGACGTCTATTGAAGCAAAGCATGCCTAAGCCTGAATTAAAACTTAAACTAGTGTATCAAACGTGGCTTTTGATCAAGAGAATGAAATACTCATTTGAAGCAAAGATATTTTAAAAGTTATCACTAAGATTTGAAAGAGGAGTACTTACTCTCTGTTGCATAATTGACAAGTGTAGGTCGAAGGTCGTCAATTTTTCCACAGTTTTTAATTTTTTCAACAAAGTCCCCTGCTACTTTGGACAAGATTCCGACATACGCAGACACAGCAACCGGTCTCAATATCAATTCTTGGGATGGCTTTCGAAATTGTGCCCATTCTTCACCATTTCTTTGAATAAAATTTAATAACGGTAATTTATTAGGCAGATAAAACCATACAAAAATTGAAGCTGAATCTGAACTTGTCTTTTCATACCTACCCCCCCCCCCAACCCCCTCCTAAAAATATATGAAAAAGTAAATGCTTGATAAACATGCATTAAAATCCTTATAATTAAAGACATCGACTGACAAAGACTGATTGTCTTAAGCTTCATAATGTCTAAGATGCATTACTTATATAAAGATAATGTGAAAAATGAATTCCCGTAATCATGGGCTGTTACATAAGGCTTCAGGGTTCATAAATTAACAAGGTTTAAAGATTATAGAGATGTAGGATGTGTATATTTACACAATCTAACAATAAAAAAAACTATACAACTGAGTAAAGGTGGTCAAAGTTTGTTACTTGAAGTTGCCCCTCTATGATGTTTTAAAACGCAAGTCCTCGAATGACTGAGATCTTAAAGTTTAATCAAATTAATTTTTTGTCAAGTTCAAACTGAAATTTGAACTACATGTACGTCATTGCCTAACCAACCAATTAATTTGTTACTAATTAATATCTTCAAGTTTTTCAATATTTATATAAAAATGGTTAAAATATAACAACTAAGCTATGTTTCGTTTTTTTTTTTTTTTTTTTTTTTTTTGGTTTTTTTTGGGTTTTTTTTTTTTTTTTTTTGTTTAACGTTCTTTTCGAGAATTTTTCACTCATATTAAGAGGATACCACTTGCATATGGAGGGCTGCAAATTTAGACCTGTACTTGGCTCTAACGGCCTTTGAATAGCGAATTCGAAGGATCTTTTTCGTGCCAACACCTACTACGACACTGGAAATCAGTTTATATCTCATCCAAAAGACAGGTCTCTAGGATTCGAACCCGCAACGTCATTGCCTAACCAACCAACACATTTGTTACTAATTAATACCTTCATAGATAGACATAGATACTGGTTAATCTGTTACAGTACTGTAGATTATATGCCTAAACATGTTTCTAAAGTTTGAGATAATCTAATATTGTTGGTATTCTTAACAACATTTTGTTCCATTTTTTTTGACATACATATTTTGGTCGAAGTTCAATGGCAAAAAAAACCCCAAAATACTCTAATTTACATGTCCGTAGTTCAACTAAACAACTCCGTGAAAATTCATAAGGGGAGTATGTTTGCTATTTGAATCTTGCTGCGATCTGGTACCTCTTTGTCATTTTTTCCATGAGATCAACGAAGTCATGTGATATCATAAAACAATACATTACTGTATCGCTTTAGGAAATTTCCACGATTTATCTGTACTTATAAATAATTCGAAAAAAAATGCATCAAACATTTCACAATCTATAAAATGTCATCTAATGCACATCAGACACATTTATATAGTTGTATTTGAAAGACATCAAAAAGCAGACTTACAAATTTGCCAAACTTTGGCCGAGGTTTTCCTTCTCGTTGTAAATTTTAAGGATATCTACTGGAGGTCGAAACGGATGTTTCATTTGTATTTCAAGAACCTCTTTCCCAAGATCTGGATGAAAGAGGAACACGCCCCAATTCTTTTTCATCGTTCGTATCCGAACAATTTCTCCATATCTTTCATGGAGTGTAGTCATAAACTTTGTCAAGTCTACTGGCAAATCCAAACAACCTGAAACATATGATCATTGATAGTGGTAGACGAGGCACTGTATATATTCTAAAAAATACTATATCAGAGCAAGATGTGTTTGTGAAACACTGATGCCCCCATATGGCACCTCAAGGTTAAAGGTTTTCAAATATAGGTCAAACACCAAGGTCAAGGTCAGGCGACCCAAAATGTTCCTACCCTGGAACGGTCTTTTCACAAGGAATATACATATGAAATAAAATATCCCTAGTATCTACAATTCAGAAAATAAGCTCAAGGTAAAAGTTTTTATACACATTTGAAAGATGAAAGCCCTAGCATTACATGTAACCATTTCAAAAGTTATGGGCAAGGATAAAGTATCTGCCAACAAACAGATTAACAGACAAACGTACAGACAGACGGACAGATATATATATATATATATATATATATATATATATATATATATATATATATATATATATATATATATATATATATATATATCCTACAACTATAATATTTTGTTTTCAAACCTGACTACTATCTTAAATGAAAATGCTGACATCTTAATTAAAAGGATTGAACCATTTTTTTTCTACCAGCAGTTTACCTTTTTAGTAATAATAAACAATTAACAGACCTAGAGACTTTAAAAGAAAAATATTTCCAATTGAATAAGGTAACGCATATCTGCCGGTAGCTCCTGGTATTTCTTCAAATGGTTTTACATCCGGGGATTTTTGGAAGAAGGCAACAGTTGCTTGTGAAGAAAAAAGGCGTAATTGTAAATGTCCGGAAAGCCTACAAATAAAACTACAGAGCATATTTTTCTTGAAAAGAAAAATCCTGCATAATATTAAACAATGTGTCCTTCTTTTTCAACATCAAATAATTAATATGCAATGGTAAGAATGCTGTATATACATAATTATACAAATATATGAAGAAATTGCATAATGCAAAATTATTAAGAACTCCGGATATGACTTTCATGCAATTTAAATACTTAATTACATTTAACAACAAGACTTTCATAAACATATGTTTATAATCTCTTACCTTCTACCTATAACATTCATATTTCGGTGATACATTTTTAACAGGTCTATCTGGAAAAAAAAATCTCATTACAGAAAATAATGTAAGCATAATTATATGACATATATTCAATGATATAACCATTTCCACCACGGAAAAGCAAAGCATATTGTAAACCAGGAATTTTATATTCTTATAATTTGCATTAATTTTGTAGAAATTTGGAAAGATGAAACGTGTGCCAATGGCCTCAGAACTTCAACTCGCTTGTCTACTAAAGATGAACTTTAAGAGGAATTATGGATACTTTACAAAATAAATGTTCGGAATAAATTACAAATTTCATTCCTTTTCCCTAAAATTAAACATTTTCTGTAAAATATATTCAAAAGGGGAACAATTTTTTTTTGTTTTAAGGTAAATATGTATTCAAGTAATTTTTATCTTTTTAACAATTACCAATTGGTTATTAAATGGCTTCTATCATCTAACATTATATACATTATATACGTCTAACATTTTACACTTTACTGTCTGAACCAGACACATGTAATTTCATGAATGTCTGTCAATCAAAATAGTTTTCCTATTATAACATGTAGTTCAAGTGCATCTTGTAATGATTCGATAAAAATTACAAAATGACATTCACTATAACTTAATTTCCATATTTACAATATTTCTTATTAAGTCTGGTCATGAGAAATCTGTTTCACGTCTTCAATGGAAAACAAATATGTTAAGTTAACATGAACCAAAAAAAAAATAAAATAAAGAGCTTTATTTATTTCAAACACAAACGTGTTTTCGTACAGAGATAGTGGTCGCGGGTAAATATTCAGGACAAACAGACATAGTTAATATGTTTGCATATATATGTATGCAAAACTAATTTTTGGGAAAATTATGTTGATTCCTACCTATCAGTAAAAACGTTAATAAAATATGATTTTATTCCTGACATATCTCTTCTAAATACAATACAAGCCAGAATAGAAAAAAAGGCATCAATAGTGAGAAAACAAAACGTCTGTCATCCAACAGGTTTTTATTCGTCTGTGTGATTATTCAAAATTTTTTTTTCCTTTTATTGAATATTCTTTAAATTTTACAAGAAATGCTTAAATATTGCATGCTATCTCACGTCAAAAATGAGGTCTTATAAAGACTACGTTATGCAAACACATCGATTACATATTTATCGTTTTCGACATCATCAAAAACAGTATAATTTATTGCATCAACGAATAGATTGAAATCTCTACATCAAGCTTAAGTATTCAGCATACGACTTTTTGATACAAAAATAGTGAACATGTTTAGAGTTAGCACCACAGTTTTACAGAATGTTATGTTAAGACACTGTACCTTAAGATAGCACGTTCCTCTTTATAGCAGCTATGAATACATTATGTTAACACAAGCACCTGTGTTTATTATGTGATAATTATGGTTCTCTGCTTTTGACAAAACTGTATTTCAAAACTGTAAAACATTTGGCAAAACTGAATCACTGATTACTGTTCCGATATAATTACTGAGATTATACCCTTTATGCACTGCACACTAAAGAGATCTAATTCTGTGAAATTTTTTGTAATAATAGTGATCTGCTCTTGGATTTGAAATAAAAATGATTTGAAATATGCAGCCTTTTACTAAATTTGTAATTATAATATTCTACGTACTAAATATAATAATAAAGAAAGATAAGTTGACTGAACTCTTTCTTTGAATTGATTTCTCCCACTTATTCATCAACATTTCGTTGTAGTGGAACTTTTTCCCGAGGATAAATGCAAGGTATTGAATGATAAACGTGAAAAATTAAACTCAATATTTACACATTTATAATGTATAATTTTCTCAATATAAAAAAAAATCATTGCATATATAGAGTGTCCTTAAACACACAATTTTCACTATAGTCAAAAGGGGGGAATATTGCAATGAGTAAAACTTCATTTTGTTTTCCGATAAATCAGTGGCCTGAATTCACTTATTTACCTATCCTAAATTCATACATTCATACATGAGTCAATATAATGTTTGACTTCTCACAATTTTTTTTTTTTCAGAACTTTGTTAAAACATGCTTATTTTGCATTAATCTTTGATACGAAAAGCACTTCTAGAATGAATCATCCACACTATTGCAAGAACATCTAATTCAATTAGCCTACCCTAAAAAATAAATAAGGTTACAATGAAACAATGATCTTTTACGAATTATAATTTCTTCAGCCTTCCCAAAAATGATTTATGGGTTTGATCTTGCACAAGACCTAATATTTACACATTGCCCTGCCTACATATATCTTCAAAATTTTAAGCAAAGGACAAGATACACTTTCACTACAAATCTGGCCATGTATTTTTTCTAAAATATGAAAGTAATGAAAGAAATTAGAATTCATGCTTTCTGAAATGTTGAAACTCCATGCACTAAGACCAAACAATTTTTTTTTTCTCATTTGACTTCATAAATGTTTCATAAATGGAATTTTCTTAAAAAGTTGCAGAAGACATCAATTTTCAGTGAAAGTTCTTTCAGATAATATAGACCATATGCATCGCTCATAAAGATTTTGAGAAGTGTGATTTTTCAAAGAAATTTACACAACATATCCGAATATTGAAGTGGGCGACGGCTGTGGACACTTTTTTCTCTAGGAAAATACCCCTGAAATGAATCATTTTGAGGCTTTTTCTTCTTTAAACTTAGAAAAATACGAAATTAATGACGTCATATTTGCAGAACTGTCCTCCTTCATGCCATTTTCTTTCATGAAATATCACACTCATACCCTCAACTCATTCAATTTCAAAACTTTTTTAAAATATTAAATTTTCAGGGCACAATAAAGTCAAAACGTACATTTTTCTTTGTTATAAAGCATTGATGTATATACCCCTAAACAAATTGTAGGCTTTCTGTTGTTCTTAGACAGAATTAATTGTAACGGTGGTAAATTTTGCCTGTTTTGCTCAGGTTTTTGTTTCTACCTTTTCTTCTCTTTCCAAATTGCAATGATGTGAATTCAATTATGATTAAAATATTTTTTCTATCAGATTAACAATGTTATTAATTCAAAATTAATAAATTCTTGAGCTGATGTGAGTAGTTTGATGGTGGGGCTTGTTGATAAAAATAAAATATTTTCCCAAGTTCCGGAGTCTCGGCTCTTAGCGAGAATAGCAATCATGTAATGTGTAATGCAGAGAGTGTCATAATAATTTTTTATTAACATATCTATATATAAAAGTAAAAAAATATTAATGTATTTTACACTACTCCTAAAAAGCTGACCCCTGAAAATTATAATATAGGAGTTGTAATTAGAAATAAAATATAATTATGCAAATAAGTACAATACATCAAGCAATAGGATGCACGTTGAGAAAAATAATCCTTTTATGCACTCGTCAGTCAGGTTATGCCTTTGACTTTAGAAACTGATAGGAGAGCCGAGTTGTGAAATAAGGTGTGAAGAAATAAGCAATTAAAAAACTCGTGTGTGAGTGTGTGTTCAATTCTTATTCTCTCTTGGTTTTATCATTATCGCTACAGCATGTTTTGGCGTTGCAAATGTGCGGTATTTATACTCCATAACTGGATCAGTTCCTGGCAGGAGAGAAACTTCTAAACGCTGGAAAATCTAGAAAAAAAAAAGAAAATCAAAGCTGCTTGCTACGTTGACATTTTTAAATAAAACATTATTCAAGTTTCATAATTTTAAGAGATATACAATCATTTAACAATATAGCTAATTTAGATAAAAACTAATCTGAATGTAAAACTTAATATATAACTTCATTCTGAAAATACATATAAGCTATAGAAGCACATTTATTATTAATTTTGGGGGGAGGGGGGACGTTGGAAAAGAATATTTTCAAACTGATGCAAAATACCTTTGCAGTGAGTACATAAATCTCAGTTTCTGCAAACCGTTGCCCGATACAACTTCTAGGACCAAATCCGAATGGAAGGGTGGCAAATGGATTGGTGTTTTTATATTCTTCTGTGAGAGTATTGTCATCTCTGACAAATCTTTCCGGAAGAAATATCTCAGGACTTTTGAAAAACCTGGGATCCTCACACATCTGTTGTAGACAGACTGCAATCTCTGTCTATAAAACAAAAGAAAAACGCATTTAATTTCATAATGACGACTTTTTTCTCGATAATTGGAAAATAAACATTGCTTTGTTACTTTGCAAGGTCAAAAAAAATGTGAGATTTAGATTTAAATAAATTTCATTCTATGCTCATCTTCACTCAAATTTTCTTCATTATACAAATGATACTTTTCATTGGCTGAAAAGAAGATGTTATCCTTTCTAAGGTAAATTCAATATTTAATTAACATGCATTTATCATTCAATTTCACTTTCAAAATGAGTTTTCAAAAGGAATTTTGCAGAACATTTGTTACATTTTTTTTTTTTTTTTGTTTTTTTTTTTGTTTTTTTTTTTTTTTGTTTTTTTTTTTGTTTTTGTTTTTGTTTTTTTTTGTTCAAGATATAATTCAAATGGAGGATCTCCTTATTTATGCATTGCCAAGCTTATGTTTTATTCTGAAGATATTAGTATCAAACATTAAATCATTAGGCTAAATATTTACAAGTTATCTTTAAATGGTCGACGAAAACATGTTATCTGCCATTAAAACAAGTGCATCATTGTCATTACATCCATAAATCGTTATCTATAACTGAAATAGCCCAAATTGTCATTACATGAGAGGATAAAAAAAATATATTACCCCAGCAGGAACGTGATATCCCCCAACAACTACGTCTTTGTCAAAACGCCGATACGAGCCCGGTGAAGTTGGTGCATAGATCCTGCAAGAAAATTAAATGCATACAAATGTAATGTTATCTGTAATTGCATTCTATCTCCTATGTATGGCTGGTATGTTTTATCAATTTTACATATTGGAGAAAGACTACTAATATATAAGATTCGTTAAGTAATAATGTACGCATATTAACAACCTTAACGGACTTCTATTTTCCAAAGAAAAAAAAAGGTTCCACATCATCACGCTTTTCTTGGGGTTTTTTCCTTCATAGTCGTTCCTTAATTTTTTTTTTAATTTGTTAAAAGATATATAGGCAAGCCTCGTTTCGACTCAGATTTAAAGTCGGTTATTCGCTTTTACAGTATGTAAAATTTTATCAACAGATTATAAAATAGTTTCAAGGCAATGTTAAATTCATACACTTTGGTTAGATCAATATTCTTTTTGAATATTTATATTACGTTTTCCTTTCACAATCAATAATCAGAAAGTATTTGTTTGTTTGTTGTTAACGTCCCTCTCGAGAATTTTTCACTCATATGGAGACGCCACCACTTGCCGGTGGAGAGCTGCAAATTTTGACCTATGCTCGGCACTTGGGGTCATTGAACAGTGAGGGATCTTTTTCGTGTCAGCATCTACTGTGACATGGGACCTCGGTTTATACGGTCTCATCCGAAGGAACGGTCTCCACGTCCAACAGAGGGATTCGAACCCGCGACGTAAGGATCAACTCCTTACTCCGCGACTGTAGAGCAGACGCTCTACCACTGCACCACGCGGGTGACAATCGGAAACTAAGTAATATTCAAAGGAACAAAAGTATATGAAATAAGATTGAAAGACATATAAAAACCGATTACCAAAACGAATTTAAGTACAAAACAAATAAGAAAGAAAAAGTTATCATAATGATTTATATCGAAACATTCATAGCATAGTACTGACTTATCAAGTGTAAAGCTACCTCATGGTTTCTCTGACGCAGGCCTTCAGATAAGACATTTTAGCCAATCTTTCCTTAGTGATATCATTTTGGCCACACACAGAAATTATTTCGTTACGAAGATTCTCCTGTTTGTCAGGGTTTTTTGCCAGTTCAAACAACAGAAAACTTAAGGTATTTGAAGTCTAAAAATAAAATGTAAACTTTTTTCTTCATATATCGTAAGTAAGGTTCCAAAGTACTAAGATAGGAATACAGTACTTTTGCATTGAATTGTTGTGTACAAAATATAATTTGAACCAGCACTGTTTTCGTATTGAATATACAAGAATGATTTTTTTGTAGTTTTTGGAGAACTGTACAAAATGAGATAGATATTATTGTAATCATAACTGAAGAAAAGTCGTTGCTAATGACTTACTGACTCTACACCAGCAATAAACAAATCCATGATTGTTCTGTCCACACTTTTAGGTGTCATCTTCGGGTGACTTAGTAATGCGTACATCAGATTTGGCTCCTGGAGATATTCCTCGAGCTTCCCTTCTTTTTTGGCATTTTCAAGTTTTTCCAAAGCACCTTTGATCTCAGTTTCACAAACGCTTAAATCATAAAGATACTTTATGTTTTTTTCTATAGTACTGGTACTTTATCAATGTTCTTCTTTAAGAGACTTTAAGAGACTAAATTAAAAAAATAAAGATAGTATATTCCAGGCACATTTGTGATAACCTTCTAACATTAATATATGAAGCAGTTTTAAAATATACTTAATATATTTACATACATTATATTGCCTCTTGATATTCTTGAGACGTCACATGATGATTTTTTTTTCAATTATTTTGCAACTTCTTATATTGAAGTAATGAACAGAAAATAAAAAGACTACATTTAATAAATTTATAAGAAAATTCACTTTGAAAGGTATATTCTGATCTTTTACTCGACGCATTATTACAAGTGAGTATGATTTGAAAGGAAATGTCAAATTGTTATTTTACCTAGTAATTTTTAACAAAGTGGATTTTGCTTCTTAAAATAAACTTAAATTTCTTGTTTTTATAGCGTATTCCTACCCATGGATATGATCAGCTCCTCTTTTAAACTTTCTGTATAGTGGTGTGGTAAAGAAGCGATAGGGTTTAAAACCCATACCCTTCAAATCTCGGTCTATGGCGTCAAACAAGTCTTCCAGGAGGTTTATATCAATCACAGGTTTATCCTCAAGACAACCAAGACGTCTGTTGAAGCAAAGCATGCCTACGCCTAGAAATAACTACTTTTCAGCACATCATGCATGTAACAAGCTGAGAATTTCGATTACATAGTGAAATATTTTTATCAATAAGCATTTTTTTTCATGCATCAAACAGATAAGAAGGGGGCATACGTACTTTCTGTAGCATAGTTGACAAGCGCAGGTCGAAGGTCATCAATTTTTCCGCCATGTTTATATTTTTCTACAAAGTCTTCAGCGACTTTGGACAAGGTTCCAACATATGCAGAAACAGCAACTGGTCTTAATATCAATTCCTGTGAAGGTTTTCGAAGCTTGGCCCATTCTTCGCCATTTCTAAGAATAATATTTTGTTGTCAGTTACTAGTGCCTTATGATTCTAATTGAAGATAACATTTACAATGTTTTGTGTTTTTGCAATCTAATATGAAAATAATTTTTTTCAACTAAAAATGATCCATAATTTATATATTCAAGATTCAGAAACTGATTTTTTTCCATTTCACATTCAACGGGAAAATTTTAGAAGATTGGCATATATCGAGTATTTAACCATCTATGCGTGTCTTCATAAAATAAATGCACGTATCAAAACAATAAGTAAAGCAGAATATCTTCAATGTAAGCACAATTTGTTGAGTGATGAAAGGTGTTTTCCTAAACTATTCTTTTTTTTCGACTTTTTTTTTTTTTTTTTTTTTTTTTTTTTGATTTTCAAATCAACATTTTGGGCAAAATAATACCTTGGATATCTGATACGCTTGCAAAGAATGCCAAATTAGATTCATTCTATTTGTCTGATAATTTTTTTGTAAAACAATGCATTTTATTATCACTTGAGATGATTAAGCCATTTATTTTATCTATTTATGTAATTATTTATATATATTTATCTCTACTCTTAGCATTAAACTGCAAACAGAGCTTGTCGCACCATAATTCGTAATCATATGAATTTATATTGTATTTACTTCAATCACAATCGGCAAAACTCGGTCGAGTCCGTCATCTGTATTAAGATTGAGTGTAAACTGTAGAAGCACAGAATCGGCCGAGGTTTGCCAAATGACTCACAATGTTGCCAAGCTTTGGCTGAAGTCTTCCTTGTCGTTGTATATTTTGAGAATGTCAACAGGCGGACGAAAAGGATTCTTAGCTTGTATCTCGAGGACCTCTTTTCCAAGATCTGGATGAAAAATGAGCACTCCCCATTTGTTTAGAGTCGTTCTAAACCTCACGATGTCTCCATATCTTTTATGTAGAGCGGTTACAAAATCTCTCAAATCAAACGAATAAGTAGAACAACCTACAGGTCCCAAAAAAAAAAGGACAAGCACTTACATGGTAGAACAACCTACGGGTACAAAAAAGATCAAGTACTCTCACAGTCGTTACAATACGATGCTTAACGTTCTATGACGGAAGATAGTTCCAAAACGTGTCTTAAATGTATCTTATGAAATCAAGCTTCTAAAAAAAACTCTTATTGTAGTGTTTGCATCTATTAATATCATTTTTGAAAATTTGATCTTAAATATTTTTTATCTTTCAGAAAATATATACTTTATGAACATCGATACTTGAGAAAATAGGGCTTAGATAAAAAATAACATCTCAAGTGTTCTTCATATAAGGAAGTAATCATGCATACAGTTTTACCTACCCAATGATCTCAGAAGGAATATATTACCAACTGAATATGGTAATGCAAATTTTCCAGTAACACCTGGAATTTCTTGAAATGGTTTTACATCCGGAGATTCATAAGAAAATGGAGTCGCTGTTCTTGAAGAATAGAACCGCAACTGTAAACATCTAGGTGACCTATAGGTATTGAGTATTTTGTTATATTAAGTACATTAAAAGTAATTTAAAAAAGGTACATTAAACATGGTTATAGCGAACACGCTTATAAACCCTTATAATTAATTCCATTTCATTTCCTTAAACGTATAATGAAGTTATTAAATCAAAATTCTACGTCCCTCGCACTTCGTTAATTGTAAGCGTGTTTTATTGAATTATAGTTTCTCATAAATATTTTATCCGGATTCATATTTGAATTTAAACAAAATACATGTTCAATTAAAGAGTTTTCTGCAAGAAAAAGTCTGTATTAAATAAATTTTTATACACATGCAGATTTACAAAATCCCCCGAAACATAAAGCCCCTCCCCGAAAGAAAAAAATATTTAGGAAGATGGTATCACAATCTACTCAAGAGTCCTATAAATTGTAGGATAGCTTTATATATATGGAGTTAGAGTGATTTGTTCTAACATGTACAATAGAATAAAAAGAAAAAAATTCAGTAATTGACACAATTTGTAATAGACTAATTAAAATAAGATAAAAGTAATTGAATGAATTACATGATTACATGCATTATTTGCCTACATTTTCCCAATGAAATTCAATAACATTGATTTCTTTTCAATAATAAAACACCGCCCTTGAACATTATTTTTTTTCCTTGGGAAATATTGAAAGTAACCTAGCTATGTTGAATATGTATTAGATAATCCCGATATGTACATCTTTGTTACTATTTTCTGAAACTCAAAATAAAAATAATAAGTAAATAAATCTTTCTTAAGAAAATACTGAATCTATATTCTGATTGATGAATAATCTTTCTATATTATTTTTTAAAACTAAAATACAAGCTCTTACCTCTTCCATATGGTGTTCATATTAAATATTTTATTGCAGCATCTGAAATTATATAAAAAAAAATAATTTTTTATATATTGAAGCTGTCACTGTATTCAAATGAACTATCATTTGGTCGTATTACAGCAAATTCCTTATTACATGTTAAACGAGAAAATTATGATCGCTAATTACATTTTTAAAGCGTTGAAATGCAATGTAAAAATTCTTGAACAACAGTCCATTTTTAAATTCATGTTGTCGTTATATAGTCATTCCACTGGCCTAAATTCAGGAATCTACAATTATCTTTAACTGATCACATTGGATTAATAAAGTTACACACAATGAATTATATCCAATATATATATTATAAAAGGCATGTAGTTTATGTCTCTGGAAATTTACACTTTTATACTATAGTTTTTTTTTAAGTTTATCAACTGAATATCATAAATGTGTTTTCGTATAGAACAGAGAACTTGAAAGGTAAACTAAACAAAACCATTTATATGTCTAAGTCTAATCCATAAACTTGGAGGAATTCAATCCTGGTTTTAAAAGATCTTACATACGAACGAGACAATTCACATCTAAAAATCTTACCCCTTCAACAAAACTCCTCCTCTTCACAAAACAAGAGACCGAGCAAAATACACAGTTTCGTTTCGTAGTTCAATAACAGCGTATGGTGATACGTTTCTGTCAGAATTCTACCAATCGGAATGTTTATAGCTGACTCGCAACAATAAGAACAAAACATACAATAACATTTTTTGACTCCATGAAAGGTTTTAATATATTTTCCATAAGACAAATTGGCTTCAAAATATAATTTAAAAGATTGAAATATTACAAGGAAAATCTCGGAGTAGCTCGTCTCAATGGTTTTACAATATATGCATATTCATGGTACACTGTAGTGTTGCTTGTGTGTTTCATACGTTGAACACTAAGACGTACAGTGGAACATTATCAAAATCTAAACAGGAAGTTGAATGTCTTGTAAACTCTTTCTGGGTGTGGAAGAGTACACAAGAAAAAATATAATGAGTTTAAGAAATCTAAAATTAAAAAAAAAAAGAACTTAATCTAACTTTTACCTTGAAAATTTTATTATATATCTTATTACGATTTTATACTTATTATAATGAAACATCCAACTTTTTGGAGCTTTAATAGTTCTTAATGCAATACTCTAAGTAATGTCAACATTTTTCTTTTCAAATTAAACAAATGAATGCAATTTACATTTCAGAGCTACATGTAATTGGATTATCAATATTGATTTCCAGGAAAATTTTATTAAATTTCTGTCATAAATCTAAAATAAAAGATTCTTAAGTAAATTTACACTTTCTGAATATATTCACAATGAAATGTCTCACTTTAATTACTCCATTCCGTAAATAACGAGAAGAATATTGTATCAGAATCTAGGTACGGCATTTCTGTGAGTTCGATCTACACTTCCTATACTGGTTTCCTTAACTTCATAAAAATCCTTACAAAGCTATATTGCCGTTGTATTCCCGGGTCCAGCAACTGCTGTACAAGCCCCAATCTTTACTCCTCCCAGAAATATTTACTGGTGAATAGGAAAATCCTCATTCGTTCTGTGCTACATCTAGAAGTTGTGTAAGTAAGGCGTGGATTCTTAAAAACTCCAAAGAACTTTTATTGACAGAAAATTTAAAATCACCAAGATTTTTCAAAAGTCAGTAACATCAAAATCTACGACCTTTCTACACTTCAAACAACTCTCTCTCTCTCTCCTGATAAATTAAAAACTCGGATTTTTATATCATAGACAACTGTTTATTCAATAAGAATTGAACTCGGAAATTTTCATATCTTGTGATTGGTCATCAACAAAATTATTTTATTAAAATCTCTTTGATTTTACACTCAATTACTCTGAAGTTGATATTAAAAGGATGCTGGAGTTCCTCATTGAACATATTTATGCAGTCTTTCGAGACCAGGTCTTCCAACAAACTGTTGGAATTTCGATGGGCACTAACTGTGCTCTTATATTAACCGATCTGTTTCTATATTCTTATGAAGCAGAATTTATTCAAAAGCTTCTACACGAGAAGATAAAAAAAAAAAAAACACTTCCTATGGCCTTCAACACCACATTGAGATATATTGTTGATGTTTTATCGATCAACAAGAGTTACTTTCATACATATGTCGACTCGGTATATCTCTGAGTCAGTGAACTTGAAATAAAAGACTAAAAAAGAGTCTGCTACATATATGTCATATTTTCTACTGATTATAGACGATAAGGACCAACTAACAGCTTAATTATATGACAAACGAAATGACTTCAGCTTTTCCATCGTCAGTTTTCCTTATCTATGTAGTAATATCCCGCTATCACCTGCGTATAGTATGTACGTCTCCCACTTTATTCGATGCTAAAGAACGATCAGTTTTTAAACAGAGACAGGCTTTTGACAGATACGTTGATGTTACAGGGATTTCAGCAACCTCGTTTAAAGTAAGCTTTTGTAAATTCTGTGGTTGTTATAATGATATTGTTAGCAAATATAATCTATCACTGGGTCGTATTTTGGATGACGTTTTTCATACCAATTGTAAGGCCTTTGTTTTCATACAAAATTTGACTACGGAATATTCTATTTACCTGATCAAAAGGGCTCTCTGGGAGTGTGACTAGCCGAAAGGGAATGATTACTCTTTCTAGGCACCTGATTACACTTCTGGAATTTCCGGGGGTGCCTGTTTTATGCCTAATTCACATCTTTGAATTGTTCGTAGACTTTTCTGAGATCGATCTCTATTCGTTATCTTCACCTTTTTTCATTGCTTTGTTTATCATTTACTTTTGTTGGCATTTTTGCGCCACTTGTCTGGATAATCACGTATTAAACTAAAATGCATTACTTTCACTTTCGATTATGTTTCAATAATAGCATAAACAAATTATGAATCATTAAATGATTGTTGATCAAACAATTGTAAAAATGATTCCTTTTACAACCCGTTCCAACTATCCAAATGTCCTTGCAGTTGTTTTGTTATATCTTTAAACCATTGAACAGAACAATTTGTACCCTCTGTGTTATGAACCAAAAATGACCTTTTTTAACATTTCAAAAAAGCATTCTATTTCAATAATCTTTGTTGGCAGCAAAATTATCCATTTGAATAACTGCACTTTATTTCCCTTGCGCACTGAAAGTTGTGCTAAATATTTTCAATATTGTTACACATCAGTTATTGAATGCTGATATTAATTGATTGAAGGAAATGCAGTTCAAATTTTGTTTCATCTTCTTAAGTATTTTTACAAAGGCTAGGGGTAAGCATGTCTTAATTCGAATAATTGGTAAAATGTTGTGCCTACTGAAACTTCAAAAAATTTTAGGGATAAAAATGTTTGTTCTTCTTATAGGATACTGTACATCGAAGGGAGACATCATCTTTCTTCTAGATGAATCAGGATCTATTGGTTCTCAAAATTTCGTGACAATGAAATATTTTGTACGAGATCTCCTGTCAGAATTTTCCATAGGTCCCAGTGCAAATCAGTTCAGCATTGTGAAATTCCATTCTTCAGCAACAGAAGCATTTAGTCTGAACAGATTCACAAGCCTCAGCAGTCTGCAATCTGCTGTTCTGTCTCTAACTTATTCTTCTGGTGGAACACAAATAGGAACTGCGCTTAACTTCGTTCGTCAGTATTCGTTTTTAACAAGCAAAGGCGCAAGGGCTGATGCAGCAAAAATTGTCATCTTGATAACAGATGGACAGAGCACAATATCCAATGAGGCCCAATTGTTAAAGGACCAATTTGTCACTATTTTTTGTGTTGGTGTAACCAGTGGAATCGATGAGCAGGTATTGAGGAGTGTGTCATCACATAATGATTATACGTACATCACTGATAACTTCATCACGCTATCAGGTATACAGACGATTCTTGGAGAAAAATCCTGTGCTGAATGTACGTATATATTTACATTTTGATAATAATGATAATACTAAGTTGTGATCAATAAATTATGAAAATGATATTTAGACACACTTTAATATATTACGACTACTACTAGTAAAAAAGGTATGAAAAAAGGTATAAATTCAACAGATATATTATAACACATTTTTATCTTTTTTTCTCACATTTATTTCCCAGATCTATAACATCAAAGATGATTTATAGGGCAGCTACCAGGGATACCAAACTGGACATTTTTCCTTCTCTCTTGAGCATATTTAACTTTAGATTTTAAAGCATAATGCGATGGACATATATGAACATGTTACAAAATATATAATTACTAGAAATTTGGAAATGCTCATTCCTTTATTATTCCCTAGCTTTTCTTTGTTTGCTATTTTTATGTCATTTGCATCATTGATAAACTTTACAATTAAGTGACATCAAACAAAACTTAATATGCTGAACGTTGCATTTAAAAACGTCATATGATTTGGAATAGTTTTGAAATTATTTGCTTTTGCAAGTCGAAAAAGTGATAAAAAGAATAAAACGCCACAACAAGACTTCTGAATGGAGTTTTTAATTTCAGTTTATCTCCATACTTTGGTCGAAACATGGTCTCGTTAAAACGTTCTTACTGAACGTCATCGTATTAGTATCAAGCATTGCGTAACTTGGTTCGGTGTGGTTAGGTAATTGGAGTACAATGATATTTAATAAAGGGGTCAGAACAATTGGCTTTTGTTTCATGTGTTTGTATTTAAACTAAACAAAGAAAGGCTGAATAATATCAAATGGCTGTTAAAAAGACAATAGGACAATACTTTCTTTCTCTCTCTCTCTCTCTCTCTCTCTCTCTCTCTCTCGTTACCTATAAGCATTCAAACAGGATATGCCATGTATTTTTATATGTATAAAACCTTTTTGAAAAGAGTGTGTATTTTTTTTTCAGCGATAGATGATTGTTTGAGCAATCCATGCCAGAACGGAGGGACTTGTGAAGATCAGCTTGGAAAATATGTTTGTCACTGTATTGGCAGCACAACAGATAAAAACTGCTACATTCCAGGTAAGTTGTTCAATATAAAGATTCTTTAATCAAATTAAGTAGTTAATTGATAGAAAATTAATAGCGCAAAAAATATTTAAGGATTTTGATATTTACAATAGTCAATAATTACGATATGTAAACTAGCTAATATTTATATGTCCTTTCTGAGAATAATGTTTTTCTCCTTTACAACATTAAAAAAGATTCGATATGGTCATATTAATGCTTTTAAGTTTTCAATTTCTTTAACAATAACTAGGAAACAGGGCCTCTCAATGAGGAAAATTCACACCTTGACAAGTCAAATGGCTGTCACAAACATAAAACAAAAGTTATGTATATTCAAATGAATAGGCAGGAAGAAATAGAGAGACAGATAGGCGAATTAAATATCCTCAAAACGCCAGTGTTCTGAGTCCACACGTGGTCTTGGGACCGCTGACAAACTTCATATGTTTTTTGACGGGCTTGCTTCTCTTACTGAGGAGGAAAATCAAATTGGGATTTTATCAGTTGACATAAAACGTAAACAATCATTAAGTCAATGCATTTGTTCCAGGTTGATAGGTATTGGAATGACTTGTAATTAAAAGCATTCTGAATTTTGGTAAGATTTTTATACTATCAGTAAAACATGTATATTCCAAGTTTTAAATTGTACTTTTATTGAAGGCAAAAGTCATAGCTCTTTAAGAACAAGTGCTGGGAAATAAAATTCCTAAATCAAGTGTGTCAGGTTTTCCAACGAACTCGAACAATTTCTTTTTTTTTTTTTTTTTTTTTTTTTTTTTTTTTTTTTGAAAAAAAAATTATTGATTATAAATCTTATTCATGTTTCATTAAAAATTTAAAGAAAAAAATTAACATACATAGCGATAAATTTCTTGTTTATTTTTTAATGCAACAAAAGTAAAAACTTTGCACTGATCGTTTATCAAATGTACTAAGACAATTAAACAATTGGTCCTGAGAAAGGTTTAGTGTGGTTGGTCGAGAGATAAGTAAAACAATCACGGTTTGTAATTTCCATCGCAAGACGTCGCTGAGTCAACCCGTAAAATATTGAATGAAGTTTGTCAGTGGTCCCACGATTACGTATGGACTCAGGACACCTGTGAGGATGATTTAGTGTAAGCATGAAAGCAGTTAAAGGCGTTGATTCGATTTTTTTATTCCCACAGGATTACCAGTTGTAAGTACAGGATCGGGCAGAACAATCAGTCTCGGGGGAAGTGTGACAATCTCCTGCAGTGTCTCCGGCTCTTATACGTTTCTTTTCTGGGAGTTCCAACATAGCGGCATAACTTTGAGGGTAAATACTTCTGATACAACAAAATATTATGGAGGAACTGTATTTAGGGCTAACCTTACCATTTATAACTTTGCTGCTAGCGACATCGGCAGTTATAGATGTTCTGCGCAGAATTCTTATGGCACGGCGCATAGCCCGACTATGGCATTTGTTGACATACCTAAAAGTAAGAAGGTTTTTTTTTTTTTTATTTCTCTTTTGATATTCGAGTATATTCGATACACCATATGAGATTAATCAGGTGTGTTTCAAAAGCAAGTAACTCTAAGAAAAAACTTTAATAGTTTATTTCCTGTTGTCGTTTGTGCACATATTTAAATTAAATTTGAATTTAAGAATGTACCTGCTTAGAATGAACAGATTTTTTAAATCATTAAACTTACCCTTTTTGCGATATCTTCAGCTGCACCAACAGTATCTACAAATTCCTCAGTCATTGGACACTTAGGTGGCAATATCACCTTGTTTTGTACCGTAAGCTCCCCCTACCCGCCCGCTATATCTGTTACCTGGGAATTTAATAGCGCTCAGATCAGCACAGCTTCAGGGGGACGATTCAGTGGCGGAAGCGTTTTAGTGCCTTCCTTAACAATCTCCAATCTACAAATGACAGACCAGGGGTACTATTATTCCTTTGCTACAAATATGTATACATCCAGTAGCAAAGCTTATGTTTATTTAACAGTCGTTAGTAAGTATTTTGTGTAAAATTCACTTCAAATATATTCATTATTCGAGATGAGTAAAACGCAACTCAATGCAGCTTTAGATTTACTTATTTTTAAGTGACAGCAATTAAATAGAAAAAAACCTCCGAGATTAAAAATTAAATTTATGTCTGTTTTACAAATGTGTTTTATAAATCCCGACTGTTATCAAATTTATATTTAAATTAATATGACCCTAATGACTCTACAAATGATAACTTCCTGTTTTTTTTGTGTTATTATTATTTTGTTGTTGTTTTTGTTTGTTTGTTTGTTTTGTTTTGTTTTTTGTTTGTTTGGTTTTTTTTTTTTTTTTGGGGGGGGGGGGTTGCATTGTACTGTTCTCTTTTTTGTTTGTTTGTTTTTTTTTGTTTTTTTTTTGATTGAGGTAAGATAATAGTACTTAAGATTGATATTATAAAACTAGTTCTTATATGCTATGGGTATATGAATTTAATATAACATAATATTTTCTAGATATTAACGAGTGCCTTAGCTCTCCCTGTCAACACAAGGCGACATGTCACGATTTAATCAATGGATTCCGATGTGAATGTCCAGCTGGATATGATGGCAGTCTTTGTAGTAACGGTAACATCATTAACACTCTCACACAGGAAAACATTAGATGTTTTCCTAGTACTGTGAGCGAATATTTATCACCACAAACCAGGTATATTTAATGATAAAGTATTTGTGTACAATTTGACACAGTCGCAAAATATGATTTCAAGCAGACAAATTGCACATAAAAACTTTCGCAAATAATAGTCGAATTACAGTTTGATTCTTAAACAAAATTTCTTGAAACTAACATTTTTAAATGCAATTTTTAACTCGAGAATTCATAAGCTAGAACTCTTTTCTTTTAAAAAAGTAATCCAGTGTCTTTTCAATGTCACAGTTATCGATTACTAAGTTTGTTCATCGTTTCAAAATTATGCTCGTTCTCAGACTTTATTAATCCATTTTTATTTTACATAAATAATCATTTTGTTTATAATGTAAATTTAAATTCATCAGACTTAGATTAAGTTTGACTTAAACAGAGAAATCAATTTTCGTCAAATAACACATAAATATGATTAATATACATGGCAGAAATCAAAGCAACGATGATTATTCCTAAAGGTCCTTTTGTGAGTATCATTGAATGTTGTTGTGAGTTGTCAGTGAATTATTGTTCTAATAAATGAGTTGAAGGATGTCCAATTTAAATAGACTTGTTATGAAACTAAGCCTTTAAAATGTCAAGATCTTATCATTTTTATGAGAATGAAACATTTTATCGTATATTAAGCTCTTATCTAAAAGGCAACTTTTACATTTTGCAGATATTAATGAATGCAGCAGCGCCCCCTGCCAGAATAACGCTACTTGCCAGGATCGCATCAATAATTTTACATGTAGTTGTCCTGTAGGATTCAGCGGAATATTGTGTCAAACTAGTGAGTTAACTTTGAACTATGAATGTTTTTCTATATTCTAAAAACGAAATTCCTGCCTATTTGTGGTACATCTCTCCAACCCTTTCTGAATATGTCATATACTTTCAATTTTAATATTTAATTTCTGTCAATCTTTATCAAACAATTTTTTTCATTTTAGATATCGACGAGTGTTCCACCTCACCCTGTCAAAATCAAGCGACTTGTCATGACTTAGTTAATGGATATAGCTGTGAATGTGCCCCTGGATATGATGGCAGACTTTGTTCCAATGGTAAACATATCTTTGTTATATTCAAAGCATAAATATGATAACCTAACTTACATTATATGGAATTATATTGAAGGTTTCTCACAAAAATATATAATTGTTTCAACTGGTATCTGTAAATCAATGCGTGTTTAGGAAACTGGGCAAGGTAATGCAATTTTCAAGATAAAATCAAATTATGTGAAAATGGTATAATGTAACAACCAATGCCTCATTCACAATTTGCATCCAGAGAGCATGGTATATCTACATTCAACATATTATAAAAAAAAAAAATTAACGCTCTTTCTCTCATTTTAACAGACATAAACGAGTGTTCCAGTTTTCCATGTCAAAGTAATGCTACATGTTTGGACAATGTGAATAGTTTCACTTGTGTCTGTGCTGCAGGGTTCAGTGGAACTTTCTGCCAACTTGGTGAGTAATTGAGATCGGATGTAACCTTTCACAGTTGATATCATCGGAAGCATGCCGAAAATGTTACCGCCTTCACATTACTTGATGGGAAATTAATTTTTTTTATCAGGGTTCTACAATTTTTCATAGAAAGCTGTTGGAAAACTGAATGTTTTAATACATTCTTGTGATATAATTCATCAATATTAATAAAACAAGGTTGATAGAGTATCCAGATTTCTTTTTCCCATTCTTTAGGAGAACGTGAGTAAATCCTACTTGAATTTGGAGAGGAAATTTTATTCTTTCATTGGCTTTTGTAATATTTTGCATCAACTCTCCTCTTTCGTTAGAAGGTTGGGAAAATGTAATATCTATTTGGCTTTACTCCTCCCAAGCAATCCCCTTATTAGAAATCAATGTTATAATTCTTCCTTTTTTTCTTTTAAATTTTTAGTTCAGTTATTATTATAAAGCAGAAGTGCGTTGTTGATCGATCAATACTTGAGCTTCAATTCCTAGTTTTCGGAAGAAACTGAGAGTAGAGTCTGAGGAACATGTATTTGATTCTGTTTGGCACATAGTTCTTACATAATCTTAATACCTTCTGAATCGGATCATGTTATTTTTCCATATATTAACGGAATGTCTACTAAAAGGCACTGTCAAAAAGGAACGAACAGTTATTAACATGCGTATTTCTTTCACTGGTTCTTATTCACTTTCATCAAAGGAAAAAAAAAACATAGATTTCTCAAGCATGTTTTACAACCAACATTCAAATCCAACTACAAAGTCATCATTTATAATTTCACAGATATCAATGAATGCAGCAGCGCCCCCTGTCGGAATAACGCTACTTGTCGGGACCACGTCAATGATTTTACATGTAGTTGTCCTGCAGGATTCAATGGAGTGTTTTGTGAGATTGGTGAGTTGATTAAAATCTTAATGAACGATATACCGTCTTTTAAAAGAGAATTTATTGTTCATCTGTTCTTCTTTCCAACCTTTTTCATGTATGATACATATTCAATTTTAACATGTACATTTTGTTGAGGTAAACCTTATAAATGCAACAATTCCTTTTAGACATCGACGAGTGTTCCAGCTCACCCTGTCAAAATCAAGCGACTTGTCATGACTTAGTTAATGGATATAGCTGTGAATGTGCCCCTGGATATGATGGCAGACTTTGTTCCAGTGGTAAACATATCTTTGTTATATTCTAAGAGTGAATATCTTCCGAATAAGCAGATACGTTAAGGTTTCCATGGAATATCACAGTGCACTCTGTGCTTGCACTTCTCTGCACCACCAGAATATGACCTTATCATGGAATATCATTTGAAAATTATTTAATGGGCATCTGCTAATGAAAAAAAAAGTACGTGTTTCAGATATTTCATCTTTGCTTCTGCTATAAAGTTAGAAGTTCCGAAACCAGCTCCATGGTGACAAAAATAAAAGATATTTTCGCGGCTTGTGATTTGGTCATACTATGACCTTTGACTCTCTAATAAGTTCACTCAGACAGAAATGTATATGCTGTTCGATATATTCATCTATGAAAAATATTTGAAAATGTAAAGTAATTTTGAAACATACATAAGCCAGGCTTACTTCAGAATAGTAGGCCCATGCATACGTCAAATATTTGTCATACAAATGATGGATTGAAATCCATGACTTCTAGAATACAACAGTAATATGAATATGTCCTTCTTCCAGGACTACTGTGTCCAAAATAAACCATGGATTGAACATAGTTTTAAAGGTTGTTATTTGAGGCATTTAAAGGGTTTGAATGTATCCAGAAAAATATGGAGGTTCACGCCCGTGAATACAGTTGTTTGCGTGATATGGATTATTCAAAGATTTAAAGGGCTTTGACACAGATTCGAAGTTAATATCTTCTAAAATATACAGCATAATATGACAAAGAGCATTTCACACCAAAATTTTATGAAAGCGTGTTCATAAACTTCTTTTATCTAAAAAAAAAAAGGACAGGTTGCATTGACACACATCCTTGCACTTTCACGAAGTAAACTTTTTTATTAATATTATAGAAAAGTGGAACATTTTGAACTGAATTTAAAAAAATTAAGCGTATAAAAATGTGCGAAAGCAAAACCATCTAACCAGTATTGTCAGTCACTGCTCATTGATATGTGCAAACAAATTAAACACACCCGTACGTATTCATTAAAAATAACAGAGCCTGTACCCATATTTAAGAACACAGATGTTTGACATATGAAGAATGTCGATGTGATTAAATTTTAAGAATTTTCATGTACATTCAGTTCATAAATCTGAAGGTATTTTAAAAAAAAAAAAAAAAAAAAAAAAAAAAAAAAAAAAAAAAAAGCTAGAAATTTAAAATTGTAAATAATACTGCTTTGCAACTAAGCCCAGGCCATTTTTAATTCGACATTTTATTCAATGTGAATTGAAAAAGGTAAATTTCTGCACTGACAAAACTTCAGAGATGGGGAAATATTTATACTAGAAATACTTTTTTCTTGTCATTATCCACCTTGGTTTCAGAAATATAAACAGTTACCTGACTTATGCATGACAAACTAACAATATTCAAATCTTTTACGAAACTCCCCTTTTACATTCTACAGATATTAATGAATGCAACAGCGCCCCCTGCCAGAATAATGCTACTTGTCGGAACCATATCAATGGTTTTACATGTAGTTGCCCAGCAGGATTCAGCGGAAATTTATGTCAAACTGGTGAGTTATCGTTAAACTCAGTGAACAATTTGGAATACTTGTAAAGAAAAAATGCTTCTTAATTTGCCTTTTATACTTTCTTCCTTTTGTATGATGTATATTCAATGAAAATTTACAATGTTGAAATCAATCTTTATAAAAACACTTGCTTTCAGATATCGACGAGTGTTCCAGCTCACCCTGTCAAAATCAAGCGACTTGCCATGACTTAGTTAATGGATATAGCTGTGAATGTGCCCCTGGATATGATGGCAGACTGTGTTCCAATGGTATGCATATCTTTGTTATATTCAAATCATGAATATCATAACCAAACTTACAGGAATTATATGGAAGGTTTTCACAAATATACAACCGCAATAGCTGGTATATAATATAGATAAATGATTAAGAAACATGCCCTAGGCAATTAATTATCAAGATAAAGTCAAAAGATTTAAGAACACACTCTGAAACCGGTATGAAAACAGACATCCGGTTCATAAGTGTAACGGAGAACATGTTACATCAACATTGACAAAATAGCTCTTTCTTTCATTTTAACAGACATCGACGAATGTGTCAGTTCCCCATGTCAAAATAATGCTACATGTCTTGACACTGTGAATGGTTTCACCTGTGTCTGTGCTGCAGGGTTCAGTGGAAATTTCTGTCAAGTTGGTGAGTCATAAAGATCGGCTGCGGTCTATCACAGTTTAGTCCTTGTAATATATCCTGCAATTCTTAACGCGCTCACAAGACATTATTGACAGTTTAATTGCTGTGCAGGTCACAATAATTTTTCATTTTAATTCTTAGAATACTGCTTTTTAACGCTTTTAGTGTGGGTGTATTTTTTATTGAAAAAAGCAAGCTTAATAGTTTTACTGGAATTTTGCTTCTACTCCTCAGAAAGTAATTCTTACGTGCATTTTGGAGAAAATAAAAATGTACTTTTTCACTGATTATTGAAATGTTTTTCACTTTACTGTTTTAATTCATGTGTCAAAAAATGCAGAAATTGTTGTTGACTCTTCTCAATTATTCCCTTCGAAAGAAAATTCAGTTTTATTCTAACTTCTAAGATTTCCATCAAAAATGGTATTGAAACACAGTATGTATTATGTATTCTATGTTGTCGATCAATTCGTTTGTGGAAATTACTAAAAATGTACAGATTGTAGAACATAAAATAATCAATTTTGTTTGTACATACCATTCTTTTGTTACCTTACCACATCGACATATTGTAACATGTTAGGTTTCAATATATTGTCGTAACATTGTATACATTGTATTCAGTACAACAGAGCAGCAAACTTCAAATTCAAAGCATATTTCTTCTTTTTTCTTTGGATGATTCTCCAATTTGATCTAGAAAATAAATAAGTTCCTGACTCTCGAGTGTGTCACAAGGTGAGATTGAAGTCCATATTGAAAATCTACTTTTACCATTTGACAGATATTAATGAATGCAGCAGCGCCCCCTGCCAGAATAACGCTACTTGTCGCGACCACGTCAATGGTTTTACATGTAGTTGTCCTGCAGGATTCAGCGGAGTGTTCTGTCAAATTGGTGAGTTAACGTAAAACCTCGTGAACAATATGGAATACTTGTCAAGAAAAAAAATATTCTTAATTTCCTTTACTTCTTTCTTCTTTTTGTGTAAAGTAGATTCAATCGTAAATTCCAGCGTTTGAATCAATCTTAAGTTTATAAAAACACTTGCTTTCAGATATCGACGAGTGTTCCAGCTCACCCTGTCAAAATCAAGCGACTTGTCATGACTTAGTTAATGGATATAGCTGTGAATGTGCCCCTGGGTATGATGGCAGACTCTGTTCCAATGGTATATATATCTTTGTTATATTCAAAACGTGAATATCATATCCAAACTTACAGGAATTATATGGAAGGTTTCTCACAAATAAACAATAGTAAAAGCTGGTATATGTTTCTAAACAAGTGTTTAAGAATCATGTGCCGACCAATCAATAACCAAGTGTAAAGTTTGGTCATTTCAAGTTTCCATATTTTATTTGTATTTAAAATACAAATCTTGTCATATTAATCTACCTCTATAAATGATTCATAATTTGAGTATTTTGATCGTATGTATTGTATGTTTATTACTTAATGTTCTAAATTTGGATTCACAACTTTTCATGTCATCGTATGTAAAGTGAAAGTAGAACGAACACATGTAATATATGCATATCCTTTCATATTTAACGATGTCCTTGTTGAAATAATTGCATAAATGCTGTAACTAGAGCATGATCTACTAAATGTTTTAAGAAAATTACGTTTCTTACTGGTATTTTACCTGTATTGTGCAAACACGTGTTGTAAGCTGCAGACAGTCTTAGTTTTCTATTTACATGTCGGCGCAATGCATTATGGGTGAATTTTCGTTTACTTCTTTCATCCGCGCACCCCAGATATTTATGCGCTGAAAGATTTTTCTATTAATTAGAAAAATGAGCTTTAAGGTAATTAATTATGTTGCATAATATATTAATGAATTAGAGTTATATTTTATTCGTATTTTAAACTTGTTAAAGTAATTTTTTTATAGATGGGAACTATTTTCCGTTGTATTTTCCTATCGGATTCCGTTGCTTTCCAACGGATTCCGTGTTGTTTTGGAACGGATACCGTTCCCCGAGGGTATATAAGTGAGCACCCGTTGTACAGATTTTTGGGCTTTTAGGATAAGATGTAGGTGAAATTTTAAGAACTTTCGGGGAATTTGTCTTTATTTCTATTAGTAACTCAGTAATTTGAAGAAATTTAGCTAGGCCTATTTATTTATTAGAGTCGTTTCACAATATTAATTAATATGTCTTAGGGAAATTTAATATTTTTGGGAATTTGGGGTTAAGACGACTGCAGCCATTTTTTTTATTGTATTTTTCTTGATTGAATTTTTATCATTGATTAAATTTTATTTAATTTGTTAATTGAGATAAAGTCAGAATAAACCATCATCTCAAGCTATTTAAATCTTATTTTAATTATTTACTGGAGTCCATCATTTAATTTAAAAATAAATTGGTTTAAAGTTAGTAAATTTCTGGGTGTTCAAAGTACCGTTAATACACCCCAGTGATTGAGTGCCATCCCGTTACACAAGAAAAAGGAAATTGATTTAGAAACACACTCTTTGAAACCGGTATGAAAACAGACATTCGGTTAACAAGTGTACCAAGAGTGCAAGTTACATCAAAATATTAAGAAAATATTCTTTTCTTCATATTAACAGACATCGACGAATGTGTCAGTTCCCCATGTCAAAATAATGCTACATGTCTGGATACTGTAAATGGTTTCACCTGCCTCTGTGCTCCAGGGTTCAGTGGAAAATTCTGTCTACTTGGTGAGTGATTAAGATCGGGTGCGGCCTTTCACAATTGATACCATCCGATACATCCGGCAAATGTTACCGCGCTTACAGTACATGATGAACAATTTATTTGCTGTACAGTTCACTCTAATTTTTCATTTAAAATTGACAAAATACTGTTTTTTTAACACATATAAAGTGTGACATTTTGAAGGTATTCCTTCTTCAGCGGAAGACGTTTTTGTTATTCTTAGGTTTTTCCACTATTTTTATTATTTTTTTCTTATCGATTTTGTGCACGCAACTTCTCGGAAACGGCTCGCTTGCTTTTCATAAAACAGTTAGGACTAACAAAAAAGAAGATCCAGAATTTTTCTTTTTTGTTTTGATGAGGTCACATCCGGTCTCTTTGTGTATTCAATTCTGTTGTTATCGTTAGACATTGAAAATCGTAGAAGGTTAGATTTCCACATATTGTCGGAACGTTGTGTACATTTAGTGAAAGTGAGCAGCAAACTTGAATTCAAAGCATATTTCTTTTCTGTTGATTGTCCACTTTGTCCTCAATAAAATAAACATGTTCCTGAATCAAGAGTGTCTCACAAACTAACATTGAAATCCAACTTGGAAATCATTTTTTATATTTTGCAGATATTAATGAATGCAGCAGCTCTCCCTGCAGGAATAACGCTACTTGTCGGGACCATATCAATGGTTTTACATGTAGTTGTCCTGCAGGATTCCGCGGAGTGTTCTGTCAAATTGGTGAGTTAACGTAAAACCTCGTGAACAATATGGAATACTTGTCAAGAAAAAAAGCTTCTTAATTTCCTTTACTTCTTTTTTCTTTTGTGTAAAGTAGATTCAATTATAAATTCCGGCGTTTGAATCAATCTTTATAAAAACACTTGCTTTCAGATATCGACGAGTGTTCCAGCTCACCCTGTCAAAATCAAGCGACTTGTCATGACTTAGTTAATGGATATAGCTGTGAATGTGCCCCTGGATATGATGGCAGTCATTGTTCCAATGGTATATACATATCTTTGTTATATTCAAAACATGGATATCTTATCCAAACTTAAAGGAAATATATGGAAGTTTTCTCCCAAATATGCAATCGTATAAACTGGTATATGATTAAAGCAGGTGACGGGAGATCAATTATAAAAAGTTAAAAAATTTAGGAACATTCTCTTTGAAGCCGGTATAAAAACAAACATCCGGTTCACAAGTGTATCAAGAGAGCATCTGACATTTAGAAAAATGTTCTTTCTTTCAATTTAACAGACATCGACGAATGTGTCAGTTCCCCATGTCAAAATAATGCTACTTGTCTGGATACTGTGAATGGTTTCACCTGTGTTTGTGCTGCAGGGTTCAGTGGAAATTTCTGCCAACTTGGTGAGTAATTAACGTCGGGTGCGGCCTTTCACGATTGAGTCCCTACGATATATTCGGCAAATGTTACTGCGCTCACAATACGTGATGGACAATTGATTTGCTATACAGGTCACTCTTATTTCTCATTTAACTTTTTAGAATACTGTTGGCTTTTTTTAAACATATCATTTGAGGTACTTTTGTTATTATTATTCATTTTAAAAAAAAGCTTAATATTTTTACTGGAATTTTACTTCTACTCAGTAAAAATACAGAAATCTTGATGTACATTCGTTGTTTTTTACTTCGCCCATTATTCCCTCCAAAAGGAAAGTGAGTTTTATTCTTGCTTTTATGTTTTTCATCAAAGAATTGAAGCACAGCATGTTTTCTTGAAGTGCGGTGTCGATCAATTCATCTGTGAAATTTACTGAAAATGAATTGATTATAGAACATTATATATTCGATTCTGTTTACTTTTCCCCACTATTCCCTTCAAAAGGAAAGTGAATTTAGTTCTTGCTTCTAAATTTTCCATCACAAAATGGCAGTGATGCACAATATGTATTCCTGACATGCTTTGCCGATCAATGCATTTGTGAACCTTACTGAAAATGAATTGAATGTAGAACATTATATATTCGATTCTGTTTGCGCATAGGAGGAAATTCTTCAAAATCATATGTTCGTATTATATATTTTTAATATTCCCAACAATCAAAATTAATTTGAATTACCATACGTTTACTGTATTCCTAAACTTCATAAAAATCCTTACAAACAAAGATACATAGTGGGTTCCAGTAAATGTTTTACCAAGCCTCTTTTTTACTCCTCACTAAAATATTTGCTGTAATGAAGGAGAAACTTCAGGAGTACTGTACAACAGTATATTCGAGACGTGGTGCAAATCAGATGTAGATACTTAAAATTCTAAGGAATGTTTAGAAAATTTGAAATCACAAAATTTTACTAAAATCAATAGCATCAAATCGTACGACTTTTCAAAACTTTATACAACCATTCCCCAAGATAAACTGAAGTCCAGGCTTTCTGATATGATAGACAGCTGCTTTTTCAATACAAAAGGATCTCGTAAATATTCTTACCTTGTCATTGGTCATTTGCAAAATTATTTTATTGAAAAGCATTTTGATTGTACACACAAGAACTCTGAAGTTGATATTAAAAAGATGCTTGATTTTCTGATTGACAATATCTCTGTAGTTTTTTGGAGATCAGGTTTTCCAACAATCTGTTTGAATTTCCATGTGTATCAATTGCGCCCCGTTATTAGCAAACCTACTTTTGTATTCATAGGAAGCAGAATTTATTCAAAAGCTTCTACATGAGAAGATGAAACACTTGTTGTGGCCTTTAACTCGACATTTCGATAAATCGACGACGTATTATCAATTAACAATAGTTACTTCCATTCAAATGTCAACTCAATATATCCCCCGCGAGCTTGAAATAAAAGATACCACAGATTCTGACACATCTGTTTCATATCAAGATATTTTACTACAAAGAGACGTTAATGGTAACCTAACAACAATGCTTTATGATAAACGTGATGACTTTACAATCGTCAACTTCCCTTACTTTTGTAGCATTATACACTTATCACCTGCATATGGGGTTAATATCTCTCAGATGATTCTATACGCAAGAGCATGCTCTACGTATGAATATGGAAGAGCATACTCAACGTATGAACAATTTCTTAAACGAGACAACCTATTGACAAACAAGTTGATGAAACAGGGATATCAATAGTCTCGTTTGAAGTCATCATGCAAGTTTTATGTTCGATACAATGACCTTGTCAGCACATACAACCTATCATTGAGTCAAATGCTAACTGACGTTTTTCATAGTAATTGCTAGGCCATTATTTATACACTGAAAAGTTTACGGATTTTTCCGGGGGGTTTTCCCGATCATGACAAGGAGCACACGGCGGGTGTGACCGGTGGGCAGGGGATGCTCACTGCTCCATGGAACCTGAACCCACCTCTAAATTTTGAGGTCCGTGTTTGCTTTGCTCCAAATTTGTATCGTTTCATTGGACTTTTGAAATTGAATACCGTTCGTTATCTTCTTATTTCATTCTTTGGTTACCATAACACATTGCAAATTGTAGCAGGTTAGTTTTCCACGTATTGTCGGAACATTGTGTACATTATATTCATTACAAGATGGTAGCAAGCAGTGAATATTAAGCATATTTCTTTTGTTGATGATTGTCTCCTTTGGTCTCCATAAATAAACAACTTCTTTACTCACGAGTGTCTCACAACCAGCATTGAAATCCAACTTTTACATTTTACAGATATTAATGAATGCAGCAGCGCCCCTTGCCAGAATAACGCAACTTGTCGGGACCATCTCAATGGTTTTACATGTAGTTGTCCAGCAGGATTCAGCGGAAATTTATGTCAGACTGGTGAGTGATCGTTAAACTCGAGCTCAGTGAACAATATGAAATACTTGTAACGAAAAAGTTCTTAATTGCTTTTATTCTTTCTTCTTGTACTATGTAAATTCAATTAAAATTTGTAATGTTGAAATCAATATTAATAAAAACGCTTGCTTTCAGATATCGACGAGTGCTCCAGCTCACCCTGTCAAAATCAAGCGACTTGTCATGACTTAGTTAATGGATATAGCTGTGAATGTGCCCCTGGATATGATGGCAGTCTTTGTTCCAATGGTATGCATATCTTTATATAATCAGAGCATTAATATCATATCAGTCTTACCGGCATTATGTGGAAAGTTTTCACAAATATACAACCGTAACAGCTGGTAAATATTATAAATAAATGTTTAAGAAACATGCCCCAGGCAATCAATTATCAAGAAAAAGTCAAAAGATTTAGGAATATTCTCTTTGAAACAGGAATGAAAACAGACATTTGGTTCACAAGTGTACCCGAGAGCATCTGACAACAATATTGAAAAAATGATCTTTCTTTTACTTTAACAGATATCGACGAATGTGTCAGTTCCCCATGTCAGAATAATGCTACATGTCTTGACACTGTGAATGGTTTCACCTGTGTCTGTGCTGCAGGGTTCAGTGGAAATTTCTGTCAACTTGGTGAGTCATTAAGATCAGGTGCGGTTTTTGGCAGTTAATTCCATCTGATACATCCGGCGAATGTTACCGCGCTAACAATACCTGATGGACAATTTATTTGCTGTGCAGGTCACTCTAATTTTCATTTAAAATGGTTAGAATGCTGATTTTTTACACATATAACGTGCTATATTTTTAGGGTCTTCTTTCTTCAAAGGACATGTTTTAAGGTTTCTTTTACACTATTTTTATTTTCTTAACGATTTTGTGCACGCAAGTTCTCGGAAACGACTTGCTTGATTTTCATGAAACTTTGAGGACTAATAGAAAATTAAAAGATCTAGAAAAGCACTTGTTTTTTTTCTTTTGATGAGGTCACATCCGGTCTCGAGATCAGAATATTTTTTTTTTATTTTCATCGGATCTGTTTATCAAGAATACCAAGATAAACATATCAAATTGAAACTTTCGACGATTCTACACTTGTAGATAAGTATTTGTAGATGTGACTTTAAGCACTGTCGTTATCCAAGCTCAAAAGGCTCGGTGGCTCATTAGGGCTCAAAAACTGGCTATGAAGAATCTAGCAAATTTGACATGTTAAGTGTAATATCTTGTTAACTGTAAATATTTCTTTATGAAAACGTATAAACTAAAGTTGTGCAAAGTCACATGATCCTTTAAATGATGTCAGGGAAACGGGACCGGCCTCTAAAATTAGGCATCTGGAGGAGCAAAAAGTTTTTGTTTCTCGATATCTCAAAAAGAATTTGTAACACATCAAACAAGAAAGGTGCTCAAAAATAACAAGTACCAGCTCGTGAGATTATCAAAAATCGTACAACGATGTTACGTCCGGTCAACCGGAAATGGTCAAATATCGCTCATTTCCGCTTATAGCATCGTAGATTCCAATGACTAATGCTATTGAGGATGTTCAACATCTCCTCGATTAGAGTTCTTCATAATAATGTTTCTCTTTCTCTATCTCATCTTGAAAATTGGAAGGAAGACCTTCTTGTCGCTTTGAAACTTCCTCGTCTAGTTCTTATCATTATTTATCAAACAAGCTTTATATTTTGACTGAAATTTTGTTTCTACTCCTCAGTAAGTAAAGTAATTCCTACATGGATATTGGAGAAAATTGTACTCTGTCACTGGTGTTTGGAATATTGTGCACTCTACTGTTTTCTTGCGTCAAAAATGCTAAAATCTTGATGAACATTCGTTGTTAACTTTTCCCAATTATTCCCTTCAGAAGGAAAGTCAGATTTATTATTGCTTCTAAATTTTCCATCAAAAAGGCATTGAATCACAGTATGTGTTTTCAAAATGCATTATTGATCAATTCATTTTTTGTGAAATGAACTGAAAATAAATTGATTGTAGAACATTATAAATTCGATTCTGTTTGTGCATTCAATTTCTTTGATGCCTTAACACATTGAAAATCGAAGGAGATTACATTTCCACATATTGTCGGAACTTTTTCTACATTGTATTCAGTGTAAGTGAGCAGGAAACTGTGAATACGAAGCATGTTTCTTTTGTTGATGATTGTCCACTTTGTCTTCCAAAAAATAAATAAGTTTCTGACTCAAGAGTGTCTCACAATCTAACATTGATATCCAACTTTTACTTTTAAAGATATTAATGAATGCAGCAGCAACCCCTGCCAGAATAACGCTTCCTGTCGAGACTACGTCAATGGTTTTACATGTAATTGTCCTGCAGGCTTCGGAGGAGTTTTATGCCAAATTGGTGAATTAACTTGAAATCTCGTGAAAATATGAAATTTTTGTGGAGAAAAAATGCTTCTTACCTTGCTTTCTTTTTTTCTTGTTTTTGTTTAAATTATTATTTCCAATGCTTTGTTAAATTATAATTTCCAGTGTTTAAATCACATTTTATATATATCTAAAAAAATCTTTTCCTTTCAGATATCGACGAGTGTTCCAGCTCACCCTGTCAAAATCATGCGACTTGTCATGACTTAGTTAATGGATATAGCTGTGAATGTGCCCCTGGATATGATGGCAGTCTTTGTTCCAATGGTAAATATATATTCCAAGCATGAACGTGACAAGCAACCTTACAGGAATGATTTGGAAAGTTTCTCAAAAATATACAACATTATAAGCTCGTATATGTTCCTGAATAAGTGCTTAAAAATATGTGCCGGGCAATAAATTATCAAGTAAAGGAAAAAATTATTTAAGAACACACTCTGTGAAACCATTATTAAAACAAACACCCGGTTCACAAGTGTATCAAGAGAGCATGTTACATCAACATTTAGAAAAAAATGTTCTTTCTTTTACTTTAACAGACATCGACGAATGTGTAAGTTCTCCATGTCAAAATAATGCCACATGTCTGGATACTGTGAATGGTTTCACCTGTGTCTGTGCTGCAGGGTTCAGTGGAAATTTCTGTCAACTTGGTAGGTAATTAAGATCGGGTGCGGCCTTTCACCCGTTTACGGTTGAGTCCATACGATATAGTCGGCAAATGTTACTGAGCTCACAATGATTTCACAGTATGCGTTCTTGAAGTGCGTTGTCGATCAATTCTTTTTTGAAACTTACTGAAAATGAATTGATTATAGAACATTATATATTCGATTTTGTTTACTTATCCCGATTATTCCCCTCTAAAGGAAAGTAAATTTGATTCTTTGTTCTTTTTTATCACAAAATGGTATGGAAGCACAATGTATTTTCTTGAAGTGTGTTGTCGACCAATTCATTTGTGTACATTGTATTCTTTACAAGAGAGCAGCAAACTGTGAATACGAAGCATATTTCCTTTGTTGTTGATTGTCCCCTTTGGTCTCCATAAATAAAAACTTCCTGTCTCACGAGTGTCTCACAACCAACATTGAATTTCAACTTTTACATTTTACAGATATTAATGAATGCAGCAGCTCCCCGTGTCAGAATAACGCTACTTGTCGGGACCATATCAATGGTTTTACATGTAGTTGTCCAGCAGGATTCAGCGGAAATTTATGTCAGACTGGTGCGTTTTTGTTAGACTCAGTGAACAGTATGAAATACTTGTAACGAAAAAACTTTTTAATTTGCTTTTATTCTTTTATTTTTTGGACAATGTAAATTCAATTAAAATTTGTAACGTCGAAATCAATCTTTGTAATAACACTTGCTTTCAGATATCGACGAGTGTTCCATCTCACCCTGTCAAAATCAAGCGACTTGTCATAACTTAGTTAATGGATATAGCTGTGAATGTGCCCCTGGATTTGATGGTAGACTTTGTTCCAATGGTATATATATCTTTGTTATATTCAAAGCATGAATATGATAACTAAACATAGGGGAATGCTATGGAAGGTTTCTCACAAATATACAACCGTATCTGCTGGTATATATTATTAATAAAAGTGTAAAAAAAAAAAAAAACAAACAAACAAACAAACAAACAAACAAACATATGCTGGGCAATCAGTTATTAAGATAAAGTGAAAAAAAAAAGATTTAGGAACAAACACTCCGTGAAACCGGTATGAAAACAAACATCAGGTTCAAAAGTGTGCCCAGACAGTATGTTACATCAATATTGAGAAAACGCCATTTCTTTCATTTTAACACATATAGACGAATGTATCAGCTCCCCATGTCAAAATAATGCCACATGTTTGGATACTGTGAATGGTTTCACATGTGTCTGTGCTGCAGGGTTCAGTGGAAATTTCTGTCAACTTGGTGAGTACTTGGCAATTAAGATCGAATGCAACCTTTCACACTTGAAAAAATGTCATCCGATACATCCGGCAAATGTCACCGCGCCTACAATACGTGACTTACATTTTTTTGGCTATTTGTGTCACTATGATTTTTTCATTTAAAATTGTTAGAATACGGACTTTTAACATTCAATACGAGATATTTTTCTTCTGATCTTTTTAAAAAACAAGCTTTGTATTTCGTATGTAATTTTCTATCGACTACTCAGTAAGTAATTCCTGTATCACAAACTAACATTTGATATCCAACTTAAAAATCACCTTTTATATTTTACAGATATTAATGAATGCAGGAGCGCCCCCTGCCAGAATAACGCTACTTGTCAGGACCAAGTCAATGGTTTTACATGTAGTTGTCCTGCAGGATTCAGCGGAGTGTTCTGTCAAATTGGTGAGTTAACTTGAAAGCTAGTGAAAAATATGGAATACTTGTAAAGAAAAATCTTCTGAATTTGCTTAACTTCTTTCTTCTTTTTGTTTAATTTGAATTCAATTATAATTTCCAGTGTTGAAATCAATCTTTATAATAACACATGCTTTCAGATATCGACGAGTGTTCCAGCTCACCCTGTCAAAATCAAGCGACTTGTCATGACTTAGTTAATGGATATAGCTGTGAATGTGCCCCTGGATATGATGGCAGTCTTTGTTCCAATGGTATACATATCTTTGTTATATTCAAAGCATGAACATCATGTCGAAACCTACAGGAATTTTATGGAAGATTTCTCACATAAGCTGGTATATGTTTCTAAATAAGTGTTCAAAGAAACGTTTGCAAGGCAATCAATTATCAAGATGAAGTCAAAAGATTTAGGAACACACTCTGTGAAACCGGTGTGAAAACAAAGATGCGGTTCATGAGTGTACTTCCCCCGAGAGCATGTTACATCCACATTTAGAAAAATGTTCATCTTTAATTTTTACAGACATAGACGAATGTATCAGTTTCCCATGTCAAAATAATGCCACATGTCTGGATATTGTGAATGGTTTCACCTGTGTCTGTGCTGCAGGGTTCAGTGGAAATTTCTGCCAACTTGGTGAGTCGTTAGGATCGGGTGTGGTCTTTCACAGTTGCATCCAGTTAATAATAAGTATCGCACTCACAATATTTGATGAATAATTTATATGCTATACAGGTAACTTTAAGTTTTCTTTTAATACTGAAACTTTTAAAAGAATTTTTTTTTTTTTTTTTTTTTTTTTTTTTTTGAAAGTTATGTCAGATTTCATTATTCATGATTTTCATTCATTATTTTTGAAGAAAGGAATGTTTCTGGCATATGTTTTTAATATACTTCTGTGAAATGTGGATCCTCTAATGTAGCCATACAATATTTCCATGGCAATGAATTTAACAAGTTTGTACCTAAATCACATGGAGGTTCTTTTTCACCATGATTAATTAAAGTTTTTTCACTCATTTATAGAGACTTCACCGTATGCCGATGAAGAGCTTCAAATTTAGACCTATACTCGGCACTCAGGGCCATTAAGCAGTGAGGGTTCTTTATCGTGCAAACGCCTACCCTGACATGGGACCTTTCGAAAGACCTTCTTAAGGTCTTATTCGAAAGACCCGTGACTTTCACTTCTATAGTACCGGGTGCTTGGCGTTGGAACAGTCACTATTTATGTTTACGTCGGTTTGACGCGATGCGGCGAACGTGAATCGAACCCGGACCTCCCGAGCACGTAGTACGCTCTCTACCACTAGGCTACGGTGACCGGTCTGAGGAAATAAAAAATAATTTATGATAAATAAATCTGAAGCGTTAGTTTTTTTAGATATAAATTGCTATAATTATCAATGACAAAACAACACCACATTTCAATATCTTATTATTATTCCTGCCTTATTAGACCAGCGTATCAATAAAACATCACCAAAAATGGTGTTAATTTTGACAAAGAGTGAGTTTTCATTTAAAATTAGTTAGTTTTCTAAAAGATTTAAGAGTTGTTTTTTTCGCAGATGTTGACGAATGCTCAAGTTCCCCATGTAACTTGCAGGCGACCTGTCATGATCTAGTGAATGGTTTCCGGTGTGAATGTCCAGCTGGATTTTTTGGAAGTGTATGTGCTAATGGTACGCACTAATATATATACCACATGTATTAAAAGTAAACAGATTTTTTTTATTTATTTGTGTATCGATTTGTGAAGAAAAATTTTGAAGCATACATTATAAATATGAAGATATATATCTACTGGAAATTTCTCTTAAAGAAGCTCTTGTCCGAATATATTGCCGATTGTACTAAGCACATACATGATAATTTACTGTAGCCAATTACCTCAAAGTTTAATTATTTGTTTTTATTTTGAATTCCAAGAAACTTCTAAAGGGAGAGCTTCTGCAAGTAAGTCTTGCGATGCTTGTGGATCACTTTATGATTGTTCTTCCTCTTCTTTGGATGATCCTTGTGAACTGAGTACATGGAAATTGCTTGTGATAAGCCTTGGCATACTAGCCGGTTGTTTTTTTACTTTATCTCTCATACGTCGTTTCATCCGCAAGTATAAAAGGTAGGCATTTTTAAGATCATCTGTCTGTATACATTCTTGTATTCATTTATTTTTCCAAGTAATAAATATAAATTCGAATACTTTGTAGAAAATATGTGATTAATACTTTTACATAGCTATTGTATCTCTTTCAGGGTCTCACCATGTAAAGAAGAAAGCCCTGCTGTAGACTTATGTTTTACATTATATCAACCAGGAACACTTGGTGCTAAGAAACCAGTTTTTACTGGATTTTAACATGATTTCATATATTGTTTAGATATTGTGGTACTCTTAATCAAAAATCAATGACTTCAAAACGCTGGATTGTTTATATAAAGAATTGTATTAATCAGCCAGGTTTGAAATCATCGGTCTTAAAGCTTCATATCGATAGTTTATATGAATTCCTAGGTATATGACATACTCCTTATTAATCTTATCTAAATAAAAAGGGTTTGTTTGTTTTTTTTTTATAATACGATCAGAATCTTTTAAAAACGAAATGAATTTAGAAATTTAAAAAAATATAAGAAAAAATTGGAAAAAAGCCATATAATTATTTTTTTAGTTCGTGCAATTCAACATACATTTAATTAAATGAAATTCTTTTGTGGACATTTTAGTATTATTTGATCTTGAGGTACAACGCAAATATCTACTTGGAAGTATACACGACATTGTTATTAATATATAGATTGATCTCGATTAACTATTCTCACGATAGATTTAAAAAAAAATTGATATCATAGACAATAAAACTGATTTTTTTATATCTATAAAATTTCTTTGTAAAAATTCACTCTGATTTTATACATTGTTACTCTGGAGTTGATATTGATTCCTCCTTGAAAACATTTACGTGGTCTTTGGAGAACAGGTCTTCCAACAAATCGTTGGAATTTTGATGGGCTCTAATTGTGCCTCCTTATTTGATGATGTATTTCATATTCTTATGAAGCAGAATTTATTTAAAACTTCTACACGAGAAGAAGAAAACACTTGCTGTGGCCTTAAAGGACATTCTGATATATTGACGACGTTCTATCAATTAGCAATTATTACTTCCATTCATATATCGACTCATTTATCCCAATGATCTTGAAATAAAAGATACAACAGAGTCTGCCACATCTATTTCATTTTAAGATGATTACTGACTATAGACGATAGGGGTAAACTAACAATTTAACTATTGACAAACGAGATAACCTCAGCTTTTCCATCGTTAGCTCTCCTTATTTATGTAGTAATATTTCGATATCACCTGTATTATATATATCATCCAACTTAATCGTACTCAAGAGCACGTTCAGTTTACGACTAATTTTAGGAACGAGGCAGGCTCCTGACAAATAAGCTGATGTTACAGGGATTTCTAAAATCCCTTTAAGTCAGCATATCACAAATTCTATAGTCATTATAATAACCTTGATAGCAAATGCAACCTATCATTGGGTAGTATTTGGATTCACAAATTTCATATTAATTGTAAGGCCATTGTTTTTTAATACTTAAAATGACTACTGATCATTCCGTAAACCCGGTCAATACATAATAATATTACGCATCCTTCGATTACTATATTATATATGCAAAAAAAAAAAAAAAAAAAAAAAAAAAAAAAAAAAAAAAAACATAAAAACACAGCAATCCAGGTCAATGTTTTATATTATCCAAATGTAGAATTTCAAAATTACTATGACTGTAATTCTCTATCTCAGTGCCTCATAAAATTGTGATTATTATAACGTCAGAATTATATTATGTTCCACTTTGCCTACAGAACGTCACGAGAATGACGTCATAATGTAACTTGTTTATAGATGAACCCGCATGGGATGAAATATATATATATATATATATATATATATATATATATATATATATATATATATATATATATATATATATATATATATATATATATATATATATATATATATATATATATATTCTAACAAAACAAAACAAATCATTTACGGTTCATGGTTCAAGAAAAAAGTAATTATAACATGAATACAAAATTAATGTATATATCTAAAGGTTTTTATGTTCCTTTGTTATTCTTACAAGTCCGAAACCAAGTCAACTGAGCAAGTTTTTGATGGATCAAGAGAAAAAAAACAGCAGTAATGAAAGTGAAAAATTGTCATTTATTCAAGTGAACAACGCAAAGCAATAATACACATAGTTAGGGGGTCAGAAGAGACTAGAAAAACCTTCTAAAGAACACAAAAAATCTTTGACATACATGTATTATGCAAACTGACCCCCTAAAGTTAAACATTCCATCAGGCACTGATATACCTGCCATCAAAAAAGGGTGGGATAAAACAAAAAGAACTATTGTACATATATAAAGGTTTAAAAGAATATAAATATTCTCACACGCAGATTGTTAATGGTATTAATTTGTATTGTATTGTATAGACAATAATTTGAAGAAATTATAGTAAGAGGCAAAGCTCATTTGTCCACAGAACTCTTTTCTTCATCATTAATCTGTAAAAACCATGAGTATTACAATAAGATGACGAACACAAAATCTGATTCGATTCCTCTAAAAGAAATTGTCTCTCTCGAAAAAATTCTTGATCCAACTCATTCATACACTCATTGTAATGCACGTTAGATGTTGAACACATGATCTGATACCTCTAAGAAAATGGTTCTCTGTCTCGGAAAAATTCTAGATTCTTTCAACCAGACACTCATTGTTTGAGTAATTCAAGTTCATCTTTATGCTCTCGATTGCTTTTATAAAACTAACTTTTTGCGTGTAGTGTATGAATTTTATTTCTTTAACTACTTTCAACAAGTATACTATCTATCCTTTTCTCAATGTGTTGACTGAGTAAGTATTATATTTTCATTGTATATCACAAAAGTTATCATTGTAGATCTAAATATTAAAATTATCAGCTATTGGGATAATATCCCATACCTGAAAAGTGTAATATAATTTCATTGGCTTTATTAAGCTTTATTATGACAGTGTTCGAACAAAATTGCTGAGTTTCAGCGGCAAAATAGAAAGCTTGAACTGCCAAAAAACGTTAAATACATGTAATATGCATAAAAAAAATTGCGTAAGCTAGTCAAATCAGCTTCTTTACTCCAGGGTCTTGTATTGTGTTTAAAAGAAGCGTTATATACACTTGCAATATATTAATTTAAATGGAAAACATATCATACTATTATATAATATAAATTAAAAAAAAAAGCATCTATGTACATATTTCAGGCAATACCTATACCTGTATAATAACCTGAAGGTACAGTCAGGTTCAATTCTCACTCCGCTGTTGGACATTAGGATGGAGTTATTTTAATTGTACACACAATTTCACACCCCTTAGGCCAAATTTAGTGCAGATTAAAATTTCGATTATGAAAGACTAGATATTATAGATAAAAATTTACCCAAAGAACTTTACCCTGATGATTCAACGATGAAGTGTTCAGAATCCCAAGCCAGTTGTTCGTTTCCTGTTGGGCTTGTTATGACGTATATGATGGATATTTTAACATACACCAAAAACCTAATCCTTCTAATATGGTTTAAAAATAACATATGTTACATTTATCAGATGTATTAATAAGGAACAATACCTTTTCCAACACTTTTGTTGTCATGACGTTAACTTCCTTATTGCATATCTTTACGACATGGTCAGTCAAACAATCAGCTTGTGCTATAATGTTTTTTGAATTTTCCTGCTAGTTTGTAATTTAGAGAACAGATGTTTGCCAGATAATCTATTAGTTAACAAAGTATTATCTAAAGAAATTTGGCGAAGAAAAAAACAGAGATCAACTCCTCCCCCCTTTAATTTTTTAAAAGAAAAACGGCATACCTCATATTTTAAACTGATGGATCATGGGTAGATTTTGTAACCCACAACACGAGATGAATAACCCAAAGTCAGGTTTTTGCGCATTTGCCTAAAGGTTATGTAGTCACCAACTTCTAAGTTAACGACTAACGACGTTGAAGCTGTACTCCATATACCCAATTTAGCCCCTATCCATGCAAATGTCAATGATTCTTCATTTCTATAAATCTGAATACCGTTATTTGACATTCCAGTCGCAAAATTAATACTGAAATAATAATACCCCTTTTCTTTGCAACTAAAATAACCTGATGAGTTAAGACTCGTATTAGGGTTGAGACACGTTACCATCTCTTCTGCAATCGGCCGTATTCTGCAAGAAAACCCACTATCGACATCAAACTTTGGCCCAAGTAAATATATGGAAAAAGTGGAATAATGACTTAAGGTTAAATCATCTTCTAAAAAGACATCGAGAGTTATTTTGTCTCCAGTTGTGATATTTAAGACCGCTGTGTTTGAACTTGAACTTGTGCCATTCTGAGAATGCCACGACAAAAGTTTATCGGGAACGTCCTTGTGATTCGCATACACCTTTACCCCATTATTTGTTGAATCAGCTATTATGTTGATGTCGATCTTGTACCATCCAGTTTTGGTACAAACAAACCCTGTTTGCAATAAAAAATTTGCGCTTCCTATATTTGTAACCATATCTTTCCCAGATATGACCGTTAAATTTTCTGTATTCTTTAATGTAGATTGCATGGCTATGAACTCATTTGTTTTTGACAAAAGGAAATGGCCTGTCCAAACTGATGTTTCATTAACAGAAAGGTTGTTTTTGTAGGACTTAATACTTATTCTATCCCCGACTCGTAAATCAACAACTAGTGATGTAGTTCCAGATTCATGGGGGTCGTCCTGCCAAGTTAATGTCATTGGTTGATCATTTTTGTAGATCCATGCTCCATTAAAACGAGAATTTGTGACTAAGTGAAGAAAGAATACATATATTCCATCTTTGGTGCAAAGAAATTCTCCGGTGTTTGAAAAAGAACTTGAAAAGAGTGTAATAAATCTAGAAGGTTTGATAATACTGTCATGTTGTGGAAGGTTTCTTGCTTCAAGCATCGCTGTGAACCCAACAAAATCAAAATCTTTCCTTTGACCTGAAATAATATGTTTCCAGACATTAAAAGCAAAAATCTTGCTATTCAATTTGATACGGTTTAAGTAAAAAAGGTCCTAAAACTTAAATTTCTAATTTTATTATTTTGTTCCATGTTTAAAAATAAAATAAAACCCCAGCGTTTTATTCAGTATTGCAAAAAGAAAACACGGATTGAATAGCTCATCAAAGATTCTATCCCACAAACCTAATGCATACGTACATGTACCAGTCAGTTTTTATTTTTGCGATATTAGTTTGAGGTCGTATAATAAATTTGTTTCATTATTTGTATGGTTTTTTTTTTTTTTTTTTTTTTTTTTTTTTTTTTTTTTAAATTTTAAATTTTATTTTTCATTAATTATATTGATAATGGTTTCATTACTGATAAAATGAGTGGATGAGCGTTTCCTCACACTTAGAAGTTCAGAATTTTTAAAATTTAAAATTATCATGTAACGATCTTGACGAGCAGTAGTTGTCTAAAGTCTTGACTGTCGATAAACCTCAGCAACACTACAGGTGACTTAATGAAACGTCCGATACAATGCATTGCCATTTTAATGGAGACGATGAAACTTCCTAGCAATCTGGATTTCTTTCTTTATTTTTATGTGAATTTGTGCACAAACTGAAAACTTTTCATTATAATTAAAATAGGTATGGAAACAGAATATATTGTATAAATTGACCTCTTTTTACGCGTGCAAACAGTTTGTGTTTTCCAAATCTAAGAAAGCAAAATTTAGTGTTGCATTACAGGAGCACGACATTTTCTCTCATGAAAATTTTGAATGGTTCAAAAAATCGTTCATCTTCTTTATTTTTGGGGTCAAATAATTGAGTATGACTCACAGAAGCTTCAAATAAATTAAAGTATCGTACTGCCGTTTAGTGCTTAAGCTACTAAAAAATAGAGTGGCGAGTTAAAGCTTTTCTAATTGGTATAGCAATAATAAAATGCGTAATCGTGATATATTACAATGGAAAACTTAATAACAATGCAAAATTTAAGCAAATAAGATTACTATATTTTATGTCATTACATTTTTCTAAAGAGGTCAAGATAGGATGAATTACATAAAATGAAATTAAAATGGGATCAATTCAATCAATAAGGATTTCTTTATGCAAATCTGTTTACCTTATCCAGATATCTTTTGAATTTCTTGTCTGTGTACGTTTTATATTGCTCAAAAAGCTAAGTTTATGAAAAAATGTAATTATACCTCTTAATTGCCTTAACAATTTTTGAACTTTTGAAAGTTTTCTTGTTTTAAGTCGTTCTTACAGCTTTTCTATATAAACGGAAAAGGATTAAATTTAAATTGCAGCTTACATGATAAAGCGCTTCTGTTATAATTTATTGTAAATTCTTTAACTTTTTTGTGTCTTAGATAACGCTTTTTTCCCTGACATTGGAGGGATACGTTTTTACCACAAGTAACAGATGTTAAAACAGTTTGTGTAAATTTCGTTACGAAATGTTGGGAATACAAAATGTGAATTTTGTATATTCATATTTATATTTTAGATAACCAAAATAGTAATAATTACAGACTAATGAAAGATCGGGAAATGCGATTGATATCAGTCTACAATAAAATCTAAATTTTGATATTAGATCTATTGAGTGTTTCATTACGTTTTGCGTTAACCTCGACGCATAATTTAATAACGTAAAATATAATAATCCAAAAATGGTATGATTACATTTTGTGTTATTACATTCTGCGTTTATCTTAACGTTTATCTTAATGCAAAATGTAATAATCTCACTTTATTACATTTTGCGTCTTTATTATATTTTGCCTTGTAACAGAGCTACATTGTACCTCCTTTAAATACTAGATCCAGGAGCAAAATAATACATAAATTTCACGAACAGTCAATTGGTTGCATGTGGGTGTTTACCATAAAAATACCTTTGTTACCAAAAAGTATTCCATAATACTTCAAGGTATTGGGAGAAGTGGCGTGTATATAGACATTCAGTCTCAGCTTTTTTTACGTTTTACTTACACTATTTTAGCTTCTTTACTGTGGCATTAAACAATTTACAAGATAATCGGTGTAATTGGTCGAATAATATTTGTTGAACATTCACAAACTGTTCATACATGTACTAAATGTGAACTTCTAGATTATGCGGCTTTGTATTTAATAGAATACATTTACTGATGTCAAGACATTAACTTATTGAAGTTCCTAAAACCTGAATTTGTATACAAAAAGGACAAAATAATTATAAAACTTGAGAGAAGTCCAACGGACGTTAATGATGGAAGTTTTCCGTTACTAATATATCACATAATTTGATAATACTTATGACAAAGTATTTTCCCGGAAAATCCCCTCACACTGTACAATACGTACATTTCTATGTCAACTCTGTATGTTAATGGAGAAAAAGATGAATAAAAATGTTGTAACTTTCATTTCTTTGCTATGCATTATATTTAACAATAAAATATTTTCTTTGGATGTTGTAAGGGATATTAATGTAACCCGCGTAAGCGTTTTATGTATATTTCTTCTGCAATTGCTTCTATGTTAGTTTCTATATTTCTTAAACAAAGAAAAACATTTTATTGTCTCTGTTGTTTATTTCTATATTTTATGTCTATATAGAAAATCATATGCGAATATTGTATTATTGATATGTACGTCATTGTATGTTTCCTTGATGAAAGAGTAAACGATAAAGAAATCTATGCAGATACATCGCTAAGTGGCGTTAAAGTATTCATAAATGACCGTATTTTTATAATAAATAAAGAAGATAATATTCAGTGGATATATATATTGTATCATTAACAAACCATTCATATGTACCTTTTGTTGTGTTCCTTAGCGTCTCAAGCAGAGTTAATTGATTTTTCAGTTCCTGGTTATCTTTTTTGAATTCGTTACGTTGTTCCAGCATAAGAATACGCAAGTCTTCCAATTTGCTTAAATAGTCAACTCCTGATTTACACTTGTCCACAATCGATTCCTCGTCATTTATTCGTTGTGAGTCTATGGACCATAGGAGTAAGACAAAAATATGTGCTACCAAAGAAGAAGCCATGGTCTAGCTTTGAAATACTTCCTTGTTATTTAGTTCTCACAACAGATGATTTTACTTTTGACACAAAAAGTAACAGCGCATGCGTAGAATTTATGTTTCATTGTTCTGGTTCAATAACATGTATATAAACAACATAGCTCGCATATGTCTAAATGCTTACCCTACGTTGTTATCTTTCTGAGTTACACCACTTTTTCGTTGTGAAGGTAGAGTCTACTTAAGCACCCAAGCAATTTCAGGGGGCCTTTTCATCATAGGTCTTACGCAGCTGTACAACGGCGGGAATTAAGGACTAGTGTGAACATGGTGTTTCATTGAAGAGAAATATGGAGTTAATAAACAGTATTCAAGCTCAAAAGTCCATTAAAACAATTTATACAAATCGGGAGCAGAGCAAAGACGGGCTTCTAAAACATCAGAGGTGGAATCAGGAGCACAGTTTTCAAGCTCAAAAATCTATGGAAACAATACAAATTTTCATGCCGGACTAAAGCTAGGCCAACTTCTGATTACGCAGATATGACGTAAATAGAAAATAAAAACTTTAAAACTGATTCGAAAACGTTACATTTATTCCTAAGGGAGAGAGGTTTTTCAGAGACTGAACCAACTTTTTGGAATGGGTACAGAGTCTCCTCCAGACGTTATAGTTAACATTGTCCAGAATGTTTATCTCATTGTTGGTAGGTCTACAGGAGGCACACATGCATCATCAACATGCTGTTATCTAGAATATTGTCAATAGATAATATTTAATAATCATTTAATTCTTTTAACATGCGTGTATCTACCATGCCCTAAAGAAAAAATTTAAAAATTACATAAATCATGTTCACCATTTACAATTATTGATTATACTTTTCTGTGAACCATAGTCCTTGTATAAAATTAATCAATTTTGACAATAGAAAAAATAGTCTGTATTTATTTTTTTTTCAAATTGTGACTTTAAAGTTTCCTTCCACCAATTTTTTCTTTAGATTTTCTGGGACATTATACAGGAAAGAGGTAACGATAACGAACAGTGATTAATCTCAAAAATATACAATGAAATATGGAGATAATGAACAGTACTCAAGCTCAAAGTCAATTTAAACTATACAAATCTGGAGCAGAGCAAACACGGACCTACAAAAACATCAGAGGTGGGATCAGGTACCATTGAGGAGAGAGCATCCCCTGCCGAACGGTCAAACCCGCCTTGTGCTCCTTGTCATGATTGGGGAAAAATCTCGAAAAAATCCGTAGATAATTTAGTGTGTAAATAAGGGCCTAACAATTAGTATCAAAAAGTCAGTCAGCATTTGACGTAATGATAGGTCGTATTTGCTGCCAAGGTCATTGTATCGACCATTAAACTTGCAAACTTCATCAACTTGTTTGTCAATAGTTTTGTTTCGTAAAACAGACCTCGTTTTAGAAATTGTACATACGTAGGACATGCTCTTGCGTATCGAATCAACTGTGAGACATAGATCCAACATGCAGGCGATAAGGGTATATTGCTACATAAGTAAGGGAAGCTGAGGATTGAAAAGTTGAAGTGATCACGTTTATCATAAAGCATGGTTGTTAGGTTACCATTAAAGTCTTTTTCTAGTAAAATATCTAGATATGAAACAAATTTGTCAGACTCTGTGGTATCTTTTATTCCAAGCTCACTTTGATATATCGAGTCGACATATGAATGGAAGTAACAATTGCTAATAATACATCTAAATGTCGAGTTGAAGGCCACAGCAAGTGTTTTCTTCTTCTTATAAAGAAGTCTTCGAAAAAATTTGGCTTCATATGAATACAAAAATAGGTCTAATAATAAAGGGGGGGGGGGTGGTACCCATGAGAATTCCAAGAGATTGTAGGAAGACCTGGTCTCCAAAAACCACATAGATATTGTCAATCAGAAACTCAAGCATTTTTAATATAAACTTCAGAGTAGTTGTGTGTACAATCAGAATGTTTTTTAGCAAAATAGTTTTGCAAATGACCAAATGACAATTATTGTACGTATATTTACTAGTTCCGTTTGTATTGTAAAAGCAGCTGTCTATGATGTCAAAAAGCAAGGACTTTAATTTATCATTGGGAATGGTTGTATAAAGTGTTGAAAAGTAGTACGTTTTGATGTTATTGATTTTAGTAAAATTCTGTGATTTCAATTTTTTATAAAGTTCCTTGAAGTTTTTAAGTATCCACATCTGATTATTACTACTTCTGGAATATACTGTTGTACAATACTCCTGAGGTTTCTCCTTCACTGCTGTAAATATTTTAGTGAGGAGTAAAGATAAAGGTTTGATATAACATTTACTTGAAACCGCTATGTATCTTTGTTTGTAAGGATTTTTATTGCGTTTAGGAACCCAGTATAGGTATGGTAATTCAAATTCATTTTGATTGTTGGGAATATTAAAAATATTTAAAACTGACATATGGTTTTACAGAATTTCCTCCTTAGAAAGGGAGCTATGGGTATAAGTTGGATTACCACTTGCAGAATTAAATCGTAGTTCCACTAAAATACAATTCAAATAATGAGCCTTACAAACAAAGACAATGATGTTACATGCTTTGTCAGCTGGGACCAATACATACTGATCGTGTAATCAATCTAATTCTTGTTTCATTTCTGTATTGTCGAAGACAGAAGGATAGATGATTTTCATATTGCCCTTCAATCACTTAATGCGAGATTTCAACATCCACCCGATACATTTTATCCATTCTGACAAAGTGTCAAGGTCTTCATTTTCATATTTGGCCCATCGTCTGGCGTAATCTTCAATTGAATTTAATAATATTTTTTTCAAATTATGACGCCGGGTGAAGGAACGGTCTTCCCTAAACTGTGACCATCTTATAATAAGTGATTGGTCCTTATTATTAACTACATTTACGTCAACAGTAATGACGTGTCCAGCAGGACTAAAGTTGTAGGGTGAAGAAGAACACGAACACGTTGGAGGATTATGTTTCAGATGCTCGATATTTAGGCACTGAAGAGTTTTTTTTTATAATTAAAAAGTTTGGAAGCAATTGTCAATGTGTATTTGTAAGAAATACAAGGTGTGGACTTCAACTTGAAATATGGTGGAATACAAGACTGGACCTTTTTGTGATTAAGAATATTATTTATATTAACTACGTCAAATCTGTGAACAGGGCATAAAACACGGACCCCCGGAAATTCCAGAGATTGAATCAGGTGCCTAAGAGGAGTAAGCATCCCTTTCACTTCAGCAGAAACACTTCAGCAGAGATACGACCCAAAGCTAGGATATATTTGGTCATTATAATGACTATTTAATTTACGAAATGCTAACTTTAAACAAGGTTTTGAAATCCCTATAATATCAACTAATCTGTCAGTAGCCTGCCGTGGTTTAAGAATTGATCGTACTTAGAGCATACTCTTGAGTATCGAATAAGTGTGGAGATATGCAGGTGATAGTATTACGACAGGAATAAGGAAATCTAACGATGAAAAGGCTGAAATCATATCGTTTGTTATACAGTAGTTAATTGTTGCGTCTTATCATCTATAGAAAAACCTCAAAATATGAAAAAGATGTGGTAGACTCTGTGGTGTCTTTTATTTCAAGTTCACTGGGATATATTAAGTCGACATATGATAATAATATATTATATTTTTATATTAACTTATACCCATAGCTCCCTTTCTAAGGAGGAAATTCTGTAAAACCATGTGTCAGTTTTAAATATTTTTAATATAATAACTATTGTTAATTGATAAAACATCGTAGATATATCTGAAAGTGGAGTTGAAGGCCACAGCAAGTGTTTTCTTCTTCTCATGTAGAAGTTTTTGAATAAATTCTGCTTCAAAAAAAAAAACAGGTCAGCTAATAAAGGAGCAGAATTAATGTCCATCGTAATTAAATCATTTGTTGAAAGAATTAGTCTCCAAAGACTACATGTTGTCAATGTTAAATATTTATCTTGTGGGTATTGCAATTACTGTTTGTGTGGGGACCTCAATTACTTTTTAGGCCAAGTTAAATATATTCAAATGTTCAAACTGGTTTAAATTACAAAAAATGACTTTATTATTTTTTTCTCTTTCCATTATTCTTGTGCTCAGTAAATAACATTCAGAGTTTTAAATTCACACAAGAGAAGAAAATCGTGTTTTCTATCTTTCTATCTGATTCATGTCATTCTTCCTCCTTCCTAAACTGTATTTGAAGTTTCCGGCCTCAATATAGCAGTTTGTGTTTATCAGTTTAAAAGTTCAATCTCACGAGATCATACATAAATTTCCCTTTATATAGCCTTACTTATCAAAATTCATAATTTTGAGATAACATATAATCCATATATTTTGTGCAAAATAGAAAAAAAAAGTCTTCTAAAAGTTAAACATGTTTAACTTCATTAAGATATAAAAGAATTCAGGGTCATTTTTTGGTTATTTCAAGCTTACCCGATAAATTTTTTCAATTCCCGCATTAACAAACAGAAAAGTATTTTGTTGTTTCTGGAAAATCCTACGGTCCGGGCTTCCACATACCCGCTGGGTCAGCTATACTTTTCATATCCTAAGATTTATCTCGAAAAATGATTAACCATTGTTTGCTGTCTGCCTGATACCAGATATGCAGTATAAAGAATAAATACTTGTGGTACTTTGATATGACAATAATAAAACCATATATGAAGCAGCTATCGAGCTTTATTGATTAATTCTGCTACCCATATTGTATAAATAGCTCTTTTAAAAATCTCTTCCTTATAAACTAGAACTAAGCCAGAATAACAAAGTGCTAGTTTTATAGATGTTTTCAAAACGGCTCCCCATCTAACTTATGGTGTTCCATCCCTTTCAAGTTTCATTAGCTCAGGTTTTTGTGTTAAACATCTACATTTACTTTTCTATAGCATTTTCCTAAAACTTCTGTGATGCAGCCTTATGGGTAATGGCCGATCAAATTTCAGTGCATGTGCTTGCACATATTTTCTAGATAATCCGACTTATGCTCATAGTTTCCTTCCTTTAAGTGAGGCGTAAAGAAAGAAGCTTGGTAGGACATTTACTGGAACCAGCTATGT